GGGAGTGCAATGCCCTCAAAGGCACCAGTGACACCCAGGAACTGCCACCTCCTGAGGGGCCCCTCAAGGAGCCCATGGACCTAAAGCCAGAGCCTCGTAATCAAGGGGTTGAGGGTCTTCCCCAAGAGAAGGGGCCTGGCAACTGGCAGGGTCCCCCACCCCGCAGGACTCGGGACTGTGCCCGCTGGGAGCGCGCCAAGGGTCGGACACCAGCTTCTTCCTACCCCCGCCTGCCTCGGGGTCGAGGAGCCTACCGGCCTGGTACTCGAAGGGAGCCCCTGAGCCTCGAATCTGAGGATGGTTCCTAGCAGTACCATGGGGGGACAGGGAAGGGGGGGTGGAGCGGGCAATAAAGAGATTTGGCCTTGTTTGGCTTTCCTTACTGAATAGTGCCTAACCTGTGAAGTATGGCTTTCTTTCTAAAGTCCTAGCAAAACTGGAGGATGGCAGAGCAGCCCCCACTTTGCTCTCAAGTGTGTTCTCCCAAGAGATTTGGGTCTAGGTAAAGAGGGGTCTGACATCTCAGTCAGCATAATGGGTTTCAATGAAAACTAGTGGGTGCCAACATTTAAGCAGACGCAGGACACCCTGCCACATAACCCACTGTGCATATGCCCACAGCTGTGTGTCTAATTTGAATACATTCAGGTGGAGGATGGTACTTTCCTGTTTACTAGTGTCTCTTCTCCCTCCTTTCTCTTAGGTAGGCTATGCTCCCAGTATTTGCATATGTGGACATCTGATTGCCTCTGTAGACATCTGCATTACAGCCTCTGCTTTTCACTAAAGTACCAATACAGGGAGGTAGGAAGGGAGATCCGAGACCAGAGTAGAATGGCAGGTGTTTATTGGGGAAAGTTGAGCACAGCCTGGTTGTCACCTCTTCAGAGACTCAGCATTATGAATTGCCCCTGCAGGGTCATTTTTATATAGCATGAAGTAGCCCTGCACCTGGGCAGGACTGATCTGAGTTGTAGCTTGAAGGACACGGTCTGCAAAGGTCTCGGCCAGGGAAGGTGCTTCCCCTGGATAGAACCTCTGGAACATCTGGGTCAGCTGCCAGTGTGAGCAGTGGCCCACGTACTCCTTCATGTCTACTCGCCCAGGGCGTATCAGGGCAGGGTCGAGCCTAAGAGGAGAAGGCAGCAAAAGCAGAGTCACGAGCAGCAGTACTACTGGCACCCCAAAAATGATGGTCCCTCTGAACCTCCTGATCCTCCCAAGGTGCTGGGGGGGGTGGGGTCTTGCCTCACAGTCTGAGAGTACTTCATTCCTTACCTGTCAACGTGGTTGGTGGTCATGAACACGATGCGTGCCTCAGTGGAAGCCACACCATCCAAGGCGTTGAGCAGTCCACTGAAGGTGAGACGACCTAGACCTTGGTACTTCACAGGGTCTGGAGGAAGGCAGAGAGAAAGAAGCATGGGTGGCCATAGCTCTACTTAAAATCAGCATCCCTTTCTCCTCCCACCCATGTCCCTCCACTTATCAGTGCCTTTTTTGGGCTCTTATTGCTAACCCAGGCATCCTCCATCAGCTCTCTGGATTTCTACTTTTTTCTGCTATTCCTCATTTGGAAACACTCCCCCTTCCCTCGACCCCTCCCACTTACTCTCCGCAGCCAAGTCTCGACTGAGAAAGGCAGCATCCACATCCTCCAGAAGCACCAGGCTCTGCTGTGGGGCCACACTCAGCAGGTGGTTGAGCCGGTCATCAGAGAGACTGGAGTCTGTGAGGCTCAGCAGGCAGATGCTGTGCTGCAGTTCCCCAGCCAGGGCTGTGCTATGGAGGAGGGATGACAGGTAATCAGCAACCTGGGAACCAGCCTTGTGCCCAACTGCTTGTTCACTGTACGAGTTGGGTCTCAGAGGCCTAACGCTTCCACCACCCACCCTAATGTTACACATGTCTCCTGTTTATCCCAGTCTCTATTCCCCACGTTTCTTTCCCTTTCCAACACCATTAGCCCAGTTTTCTTCCAGTTTGAGGGTTTGAGAAGTTTGACTCTACTCACATGAAACTGCTCTTTCCGCAACCAGGGGGCCCATAAAGCAGGTAGCCACGTCTGTAGGGAATGCCTAGGAATACAGCCAGGATGATCATCAAGACCTAAAATGAATCATGCATTCTGTCCCAGATGTCCACATTGATTCCCAGTCCTGCTCCCTGGAGGCCTGATGACCTTGGCATTGGAAAAAGTCATTCCCGTAGGTAACTTTTCATTCCTCTTCATCTATGGGAATTAGGCTAGAGCTTTATATTCACCCCACCTGGCCACAGACCAGCCTGTTTCCTCCTGCTCTGATACCACATCAAAAACAGCCTGGCCAAGACCCCTGCTGTTTCTCACCTCTGTCAGTGTACCACTTGGGGTTGTCGATGAATTCCTGGATGTCTCTGACAATTCGGTCAGCCAGACCCTGTTCTAGAACCACAGAACTCAGTGGACGCCGGCGACGTGGATAGCCAAAGGGGCGCCATTCAGAACCCACAGCTGTGTACATCACTGTCTTCCCTTCCTCCTGCTGCAAGGCTAGCTCTCGAGCTGGGAGTAGGGAGATGAAACAAAGCCAATGATTCTTTTTGACATGCAACATGACAGAGCTGTGCCAAAACAGCTTCCCCCAGCTCCCTGCTCCTATGGGCTCAGATCCTCCTCCACCTCCTCTCCAAGATTCTCTTCTTTTGATGTCAGATACCCCATCCCTGCAACTCCCCTCCCCTATAAAGGCTGCCTGTGCCATCCCACACCTTCCTCCAGGATGTTGAAGAAAACCTTTCGGTCAGTGCCCAGAGCCGTGAAGGTGACAGACTCCCAAGGAGTTCCCGTCTGCAGGTCTATCATCTGCATCTCTCGGCTCCGAACCACTCGGATCCATTTCCCTTGATACCTGAATAAGAATGGTCAAAATGAGGTGAATGAATGGGTCAAACCCACCTCCCCTCATTCTCCTTTTCTACTCTCAGAGCCCTCCATGGCTCCCATCCTTACCAAATAAAGTGGTTTCCAGGGCTGGGGACAAATTCAAACTTGGTGGAGATGCGGCCACTCTCATGCTGAAGGTATGAAGTCTCCACACTGAGATGCTGAGTATGGGTACTGTGGCGGGTGAGCCAGCTAAGCAACCAGGCATAGCTTCGGTCTCGAGCAGGGACTTCCAATGTGATCATGTAATGGCGCCGGAAGGCCACCAGGCCCAGTTGGAGGCCCTTCCGAGCCAGGGCCAGGGCTGTGCCCACACCCACCAGCCCAAATCCAGCCCCAAAGTAGGGATTGTCCTTCAGGGCCAGAACAAAGTCTGAGAGAGGCATCTTGAAAGGAAAACACTGAACATTACAGGCCTTGAGGCATTTTCAAAACCTGGGGATGGGAGCAGTGGAGATGGAATAAAGCACAAGATTACTTTAGAAACTGTACTCCGAAATTCCTCCCCAACCCGCCCCCTCCCTCCTACAGAAGCTGAGAGCAGGAAGGACAGGTCAGCAACACAGTGTGCTTTACTATCCTCCCTTTATGGGGTAGGGCTGATGTTGGAATGCAGGGGATGGGACTCTGAACAACTCATCCCATTTCATCTTTCATTATCCTGTTCATACCTGTTTCTGCCAGACAACTATGTCTGGAGATTTCTTAAACCTGAGAGAACAATGTAACCGCCTTCACATCAGCATAGTGGGTGGGCAAAATTATTTTTTGTGGTCACTGGGACCAGCTGAGATAGAAAGCTATCCACTGTCCAGAGTTAGCAGGGGATGAAGAAGCAACTCTCTTCTGTCAGTAACCCCATGCCTTGTTAACATGAGTCATGTCCTTCAGATATCCTCTACATGCACACTTCTTGATGTCCTGTTTAGCCCTTTATTACCTGCCACCTAAACTATGTCTTCAAAGTTAATTTTGGTTCTTGGAGTGGCATCTTAGTGGGTCTCTACCTCTTGCTTCACCAAAGTGCTCTACAGGGGTCCAGATCTTTCTTCATAAAGATCTGCTTCAATCCAATCACTTTCCCTACTCCAACAACTCCAATGGCTGGCTCTCAACAGGGCCTTTAGTTAGGTTAAAAAAATTCTCTGCCTCCACAACAGGGCACCCATGTACCTTTAATGGCTTAGCTCCTAATACTGTCTGTTGAACAAATATGCAAACACCTCCCTCTTCCTTGCTCAGGAAGTTCTCTTGACTCTGATCAGAATGCTTATTCTAATTTATTCCCTCCATTCTCTCCAACCGAAGTCCTACCTATCTCCTACTTCCACCGTGGGGATTTTCCCAAATTCCACCCTCCAAAAAATGTGACCAGGCCTGATTCCAGACTGTAAGATCCCGAGGGGTAGGAGGTGAAATCGTTCGCAGCACAACTCCCTCGCCCCCTGCCACTTTGCTCTACGACTAGCACGCAGGGTGGTGAACTGACAGCAGTGACCTCCGCTGAGGCTGAATAGGATCCAGAATTTCAAATTTTTCTATCCATGGAAGGCCACAGACAAAGCTCTTCCCGCTCCCGGTCTTTGTTGGATGCCTAGAACCCCTCCCGAACCCCCTCCACAACCCAGCTCGCGCCTCCAGCATCGTGGTTCGGAGTAATCTGTCACTCCGCCCCCTTACCTCCATGACTCTCTGGCCCTCCCTCTCGATGGTTTCACCCTTCCGCTCTTGAGGGAAGCGCCACTCGGCCCCGCCCCGAATCCTTTCATCTACTTCCCGCCACACCCACCAAGAAGTCCATGCCACTCTGCTCCACAACTCTCGATGGTACTCCTTGGGTTTCGCGGCAGGGGATGTTGAGGGTTGAGGAGGGAGACGATAAAGAGAACCATAGAGTACACCTCCAGCCTGGTAGAGAAAGAGAGAGCGCCCTCCATGTGCCCACTGTCCTAGAGGCGGCTGGGCCGGAGGCGGTCGCACAAAGGGAGTCCCTGGAGGCCGCTCCAGCTGCTGGTCGACCATAGAGATGCGGCTCCCGCCCGCCTTGGGCCGGGAGGTAAGTGAGCGGCTGCAGGTTGGGAACTGGTAGGGAGTGCGGGTGGAGCAGGCCTGAGGCAAAAGTTTCTCGAGCCCCAGGATGAGGGTGCGCCTGGGCGGTAGGAACGCTTGGGACAAGTGCTGAAGGGAGCACGCCAACGAGCGGGGCCCCGGCGCATCACATCAGCCGCCCGGGTGCTTTAGTCGCGTCACTGCTCTGGACCCCGCCCGCTTATCCGCTGCCTCTCCTCAGGACCATAATCATGATGCTGCTCCATCCCAAGCCTGGCAGGTTACAAAACGGCTTTCCTATTCTTCCGCTCTTGTGATTCCCGCTCCCGCCCAACGATGTGGACGCTGTCATCGCCTCCACTTTACAGATGGGAAAGCTAAGGCCCAGAGAAGCGAGGTGACTTTTATCTGTCCAGGGCCACGCGGTGAGTCAGAACCCACAGACAGGTTTAAACGCGGGTACCTTGGTCCCCAGGCCGGGTCTCCTTTCCCCAGGCCTTTTCTGCCTAAATGTGTCCTTTTTCTTCCTCAGTGCCCTTGCTCCCCAGATAAGCTCATTTCTTCTCTTGGCCCCACTGTCTCTCACTTCACCCCGCCTTCCAGCCGCTGAAGGTTCTCAGTCTAGACATACCTCGCCTTCCTTGTTCTCACCAAGGCAAATATACTGCCCGAGCTGGAAGATTCCTGAGAGCAGCGATAATATTTAGTAAGTGGAGGCTGCGGTTCCTGGAGAATCCTCTGAGGGCAGAAGGGCACTGCCCTGCCAGCTTCTGAATCCCCGTGTTCTGAGGTTTTGAGTTGCAGAATTCTCACCTGCAACCTGATTTCCTAGCCTGAGGCCCTTAATCGACCTCCATGACTCAGTTTCAAGAACTGATTACTGTTGTTCTTATTAATTATCAATTTCTCAGCTTAAACTAATTTTAGCCATGTATAACAGAATATGCAATTTAGTTGACATTTTTTTCTCAGTTTTGTTCCAGTGTTCAATGTGAGGCCATAATAAATGAGTTTGAAATTTCTCCAGATGTGATACTTTATGTGTAAGAAACCATGGTTTGGTATCTTACTAAAATCCTAGCTTTACTTTGATGCACCTCTGTGTCTATAGTTCTTCACTAGAATTCCCTTGTTTGTCTAACTGGTATAGACCATTGGTGGTTTGTGTTTAGTGAAGTGATAATGTCAACAAACTCAAAAAGCTCCAGGTCTAGGGAGGGAGACTGGTAAGTAAACAACAGTGCAGTGTGAAACAATTTCTGACAGAGCTGTGTACAAGGTGCCGTTAGGAACTCAGAGAGAGAGACTTAGATAAACAGTGTCAGGAAGCCATCATAGTGGAAGTGACATTTGTGCAGGTTCTTAAAGGATAGTTCGAAGTTGGTTAGCCAGACAAGAAAGATGGCAAAGGGGAAAAGGCCTAGCAAGCCGAGAGAGAGGAAGGTGAAAGGATGTGGAAGCCGAAGAGAACGTGGTGAATCTGGGGAGTGGCAAATAATTGGTATGACTGGTTCAGAGATCTGTTGCAGGGAGAAGTGGAAGATGAATCTGGAAGGTCAGCAGGGGCCAGATTATCATGAAGGAAGGGCCTTGAGCTCAGGAATAGAGAGATCATAAAATGTTAAGAGGGAAAGGGACCTCTGAGATCACTTGACCCTACCCAGTGTTACTGCAGATAAGAAAACTGAGATCTAGGTTGCTTACTGATTTGACCAAGGTCACTTAGCTTCAAGAAACATAACCTGCAGTCTTTAATATGTTGGCCATATTTCTTGTCTCTTTCCTGTATTGACCCCTAATGTCATTTTTATGCTTTTTGTTCTAAACTTTGCCATAAAAAGAACACTTCTAGGTTAACTAGGTGTGGCATGCTGCCATACAAGGAAATGCTTAACTGGGCAGGCACTGGGCTCTGTACCCACACCAACTAGGAAGAAAGTGAGAGATCTAATTATATTTTGTTTGGTTTTTCTTCTGGTTGGTTTATCAGCACTTCGGAGGCCATAGCACACAAGTTGGTGGTGATGACAGAGCCCTTGTTGGACTCACAGCCAGCCAACAGTGCTGGAGAGATGGATGGACTGTGCCCTGAGCTATTGCTGATCCCCCCACCTCTCTCTAACCGTGGACTCCTGGAGCCTGTCCAGAGCCCCTGTCCTTCTGGAAACCCTCCACCTTTGCCTGCTGACCCAGGCTGCCTGCTGGTAGAGGCCACAGCAACTGAAGAGGACACAGGGAATATGGAGATCATTGTGGAAGCAGTAGCTGGAAACCTGTCCCCAAGTGCTCCTGGAGAGACCCCAGGTACAAACACAGTTGCTAGCAGGCCAGTGGAACAAGCAGCCCTGAGTTTTTGTCTGTGCTATTTTTGATCCTTGTATATAAATATGATGAAGACACAAGGTAGCATCCTATTTTTATACTTAGAGATGTTGTAATTTGATTTGCAGTTGGTGAATGTTGATTGAAGGCTGGCGAGGTGGTGCACAACCTTGTACCAGGCTCTTGGCAGTCTATCCCTGCGAGGGCTTCACGTCTGCTAGGCGGTAATCCAGAAAGGAAGACTTTTCTGACACCTCTGCCCAATTCTTACTCCTATAGTCCTCAGGGATTCTTTCCTCCATATTGACCTTCCACCCAGGAACTACAGCCAGGGATTAGGCAAAAGGCCCAGCCTCTCTCCACCACCCAGGACTTGGCAGGACTTCCTCGAAGTAATCTGATATCCCCTGCTCTAGTTTCTTGTAAATAACATACTTAACTCATCCAAGGCATGTCGTTGAGAGTAGGAGTTGGACCTTTATATTTATGTTAGAAGAAAGATTCTCCCCTTTCTACACCTTTTTATTTTTAGGTAATGTTCCTATTTTCCAACTGCCATCTTCCAGCTACAGTTGTACCAGCCTTCCTTGGAAGTATACAGAGAATACTGGGAAGATTAGCTAATTTGATCATATAATATTTCTAAGCTTTGATGTGGTAAAAGAAATAATAAATTAAGAAGAAACCTGGAAAAATATTTTTAATATATAAGAAAGAGTATCTTTAAAATTCAAAGAACTCCACAATAAAAAAAAAAGTTTTTTTAAAAGAAGGAAAAAGAAATCTACATGCAATTCAATAAAGAAGTAAAAAGTCAACAACCGTAAGGAAGCTTAATCTCACTAATAAAAATTCCAGTTAAAAGTTAACTGTGAGATGCCAGTTTTGTTTCTTAACTTTGGCAAAAATTAAGCATTATTTATAAAACTACTGTTGGTGAGGCTGTGGGGGAACAGATACTATCTTACAGTTTATGGAGAGTATAAATTAGTGTAATCTTTTGAAGGTCAGTTTATCTATGTAACAAATTTTAAAATATGTGTTCTCTGACCCAGTAATTCTACTTCTAGGGATCTGTCATATAGAAAGACTCATACACATGCACAAGATTACAGGGATAATGCAGCTTTATTTATAATGATTGGAAACAACGCAGTAGTCCATCAGTAAGAGCAAAATTTCATTTTGATTTATCCATACTCGTACCATGAACTGGACAAAAAAAAAATATGAGGTAGATAAAAATATCTTTGCTGTATAGCAGATGGGAAAAAAGCTAAGTGCAGAAAAATGACCCCCCAAAGCCTAAAAGGATCTAGACCAAACTATGTGTGTGAGGATGGGGGACGATTATTCTTTATATATGTCTGTATCATTTGAATTGTTGCACTGAATTTTTATTTAAACAAAAAGATAATAAAGAGAAAAAGGACCACCAGAATAAACATGGGGCAAACCTGGGCTCTACCGTTAACAAGAGGATTGGCCTTAACGTTGCAGAATCCTAGGTCTCTCTTCCCAAAGAGCAGTTGGAGGACCTGACTAGAGTGTTTCCTAAGCCTTTCTTTGTCAAGGTCCTCCCTATTGCTTAAGAAACGACAACAATTATTTTGAATGTGATTTGGCCTCCATTGTATGAATTACTATGCCTTTGAAAATCTCTTCACAGAATATAAAAGTAATACTTTGTCTTTATATTGCAAATATTACCCCCAGATTGTCATTTCCTTCTTTTGGAAGTTTCTAAGTTTTTATTTGGACAAAATATATTGTCTTAAAGCTTTCTGGATTTGGTTAATGCTTTTTACGTTTACTTAACAAATAATTACCAAGTACCTACTTGTGCCAAGCATTATGTAAGGTATTGGGAATCCAAACACATGTGCAAGATAGACTGTCCCTGACATTAAGGGGCTTACAATCCAAGTGTAGAACCAGACTTAAGTCCATCTCCACTCCGCGAATATTAAAAGATTCACCTACATTTTCTACTGGTAACTAACTCATATGAGTCTCGTTCCATCTGATTCTGTGCCTTTCTCTGTCGGTCCTCTGCCTGCAGGTGTCCTGGTAAAGGTGGTGGAGGTGTACTTCTGTGAGCACTGTGAGCAGAGCTTCGCAGAGCCCGCTCTGCTGGCCCTGCACCAGTGCACTGAGACCATTATACAGCCTGTGCATGGCCTCACTAGCCCCCCATGCTCTGTAGAGCTGCCCCGCAGCAACCTCACTCTTCCTGGCCCTCTACAGGGCCAGAGCCCACCAAATAGCCCCCTGCCATGCCCTGTGTGTAGACAGGAGTTTGCCCAACCTCAGGCCCTGAAGAGCCACTTCAAGATTCACCGGGGCACTCCCGACACCTTCTCCTGCCCAGAGTCTGGCTGTGTGTTCTCCGCTCAAGATCGCAAGGGTCTACAGCACCACCTGAGGCAGACCCACAGAGCGCTTCCTGTGCCCTGTTCTTTCCGGGGCTGCCCCCTGCTCTTCGGGAGCCAGCAGGGCATGGAGCTGCACCGGCAGGCCCATTATCCTTTCCACTGCAACCACTGCAGCTTCGTGGGCTCCAACATCAAACTCTTCCGGCAGCATCAGCGGAGCCATGGAGCCGGGACACAGGGAGGACTGTCTGCTGTTCAGGGTCTTCCATCCCAGGAGCTGCTGCCAGGTATGAGGCCAAGGGCCCAGCAGCCTTGAGGAGAGGCAGTTGTTTCTAGTGCTGTGAATATGTGCATGAATACGGGAGAATGGCTCAGAAGGACAAGATTACTGGCTGACACGGAAAGGCTTCTAGAAATCCTGGACTGGTCAGAATATATGAGACAAAGAGGAAGTCTTTGTGACAGTGAATGAAGTTTGGCTTAGACTACACTGTGGCCTTGAAGTTACTTAACCAATATTCTCCTCTGATCACTTTGTAACCTTCTGAGGGCAGAAGCTAAAATGCCCATCAGTGGCCATAGCCAATGGTAGAATGTCTGTAAACTCCTGTTAGGGCAAGTGGGATTGGGCAGGAGAAGCTGGGGTTATTTTAAAAAGGAACCTTCAAGGAAGGTAGTGCTTCAGTGATTCTTACTCTTCTTCGTCTCGTAAAAAGGGAATGGGGTAAGCACAGGAGCAAGGGGAAATAGAAAAAACAGGATTCTGATGAGAGAATTTGGCTTGCTAAGACTCATTTGTGCTCTGATGCAAAGAGAAGATTCCTCTTCTGCAAAAAAAGTCATACATTTTTGCCTTACTGAAGCAGCTGCCTCTGTTGAGGGATAGAAGGGATGGATTTGAAGGCAGAAGGTGTGCCCCTGAATTGCTGAGTTGGGTTTTTCAATAAAAGTTTAGTGGTCAGGGTTTGTTCACCTGTACTAAGCCACCAGTCATTGGCTCCGGTGATCTGAGCTAGGAAGTATAGTCTCATCTGTCTAGTCTCTACCTCTCTGCCCCCTCCCCCTCTCCAGTGACCTCAGGGCTCTTACCTTCAGGGGTTCTGAGGTTGGTGTTACCTGAAGTTTGATTTATTTTAGGTTGGAGCATTACTGACCGCTGAGCTCCTGGTCTTCCTGTCTTTGTCTTGAGTGGGAATAAATTTATATACTTACAACCCAAGATGCCCTTATGCCACCTAATTGGAAGTGATTCTTCTAGCCAGTAAGAGCAGAAGTACAAGCACTCAGCACTGCATTGGCTCCTCTAGTCATCAAGTTTTATGTGTCTGCAGCTCCCAGACTGTCCCCAGGAGAGGGAGAGCCTTCAGAGGAAGCAGGAACACCCATGCCTGGGCAGGATTCAGCTGAAGAGGAGGACGTAGAGGAAGAAGAAGAGAGTGGCAGCCAGAAGAACTCTCAGAAAGCCCTGGGGAAAGGCCAGGGGGCTCAGCAATTGGAGGGTAATGATATGATGGATAGGGAGGAATGGACTGTGGGGGCCTGGCATCGAGGCACTAAGATTTGGTTTTCTGACCTTTGGTTCAGATCCTTCAGTTCTTAACATTCCACTTCAACATGTCTAGTGGGAAAATGATAAATGGGTACAGTCTCTGGTAACACAGGGTAGGGGTAAATAGAGTCTGCTTTCAGAGCTGGTGTTTCTCAGGCAGGAAGCCGTCTTGTCTGATACTGAGCCCTCTAGGATTGTTCTTCTGAATCTTTGTTTCCCAGTTTTCCATCTCAGTAGAATGACATTTGAATCCCACCCCACGGGGAGCATATTTACTGTCAGGTGACTAGGAAAGATCTGATTGTATTTATTACCAACTCTCTATAAACCCAAACTCAGTGAGACAGTGTTTGGAAGTAGGAGTACTTGACCTTCTCTTCCTTCTCCTCTGCTCACGCCCTGTGGGGTTTTTTTCCTTCTGACCAACCCTATTTATCCTTCTGCCCATCCCTGTGGTCAAGGGCAGGAAGAACAGATCGCTCCATCTGGATTGCTCTTTTCAGCTTCTCTAGATAAAGGCTCAGGAATAATGGGTGTCTGGGGCAGTACTTCACTCAGACCACAGCAAGTTCTGAGAAGTCCTTGTGACTTTGTTTCTCTAAATACTTGAATGTCTTGTCTCTTCTTTAAGACTATAATGTTTGAGATGCTATTGTTTGGTTTCCTGAAGAGAAAGGAGCAAGGCCATGCAAGTTTCGTCTGGGCTAATCGTGGTTCTCCCATTATCCGGCCAACCCCTGACCTATCGAAGAATCTCACTCTTAGCCCTCTCTGCCTTTTCCTCCCGCAGGGGATGCGGCTTCTGGCACCGAGTCTCTCTTCAAGACCCACATGTGTCCAGAATGCAAGCGCTGCTTCAAGAAGCGGACCCATCTGGTGGAGCACCTACATCTTCACTTCCCAGACCCCAGTCTCCAGTGCCCCAACTGCCAAAAGTTCTTCACTAGTAAGAGCAAGCTCAAGACCCACCTGCTGCGGGAGCTGGGCCAGAAGGCCCACCGCTGCCCACTGTGCCACTACAGCGCAGTGGAGAGGAATGCACTCAACCGCCACATGGCCAGCATGCATGAGGACATTTCCAACTTCTACTCAGATACCTATGCCTGTCCTGTCTGCCGTGAGGAGTTCCGCCTCAGCCAGGCCCTTAAGGAGCACCTCAAGAGCCACACCGCGGCAGCAGCAGCAGAGCCGCTGTCCCTCCACTGCTTTCAGGAGGGCTGCAGCTTTGCGGCACCTGACCGGAAGGCCTTCGTAAAGCACCTGAAGGAGACCCACGGGGTGCGGGCCGTGGAGTGCCGCCATCACTCGTGTCCCATGCTCTTCGCTACGGCGGAAGCCATGGAGTCCCACCACAAAAGCCACTATGCCTTCCACTGCCCCCACTGCGACTTCGCCTGCTCCAACAAGCACCTGTTCCGCAAACACAAGAAGCAGGGCCACCCTGGCAGTGAAGAGCTGCGCTGCACCTTCTGCCCGTTTGCCACCTTCAACCCGGTGGCCTACCAGGACCACGTGGGCAAGATGCATGCTCATGAGAAGATCCACCAGTGTCCTGAGTGCAACTTTGCCACTGCCCACAAGAGGGTGCTTATCCGCCACATGCTGCTGCATACCGGTGAGATGGCTTCCCTCCACCCCTGCAGTCATATAATAATGGTGATGATGGTGATGATAATGGTAAATGGGAGCTTTTACTGTGTACCAGACACAGGGAGGGCTTTGCATACACTACATAGGTCTCATTTGGCCTACTAGTCCTAGAGGTAAATCTAGTATTTGCAGTTCACAGATGAACCTTGAGTGGCACTCAGCTCATAATGGTATCAGGCTACGACTTGAATCCAGGCAGTCTGATCCAGAGCCTGTGCTCTAACCACTGTGCTGTTATACCTCACATCTAAGGCCCTGTCCAGTTCTGCCCACCCTTAGGCGGGCTTGGGAGGGTCAACATCCAGCCTATTAAAGCAAAGAAACCCAGACCAGGACAGATACCTTCCTTGGCATTTCAAGTTTTGGGATATGCTGTGAGAGATGGGGTGAGCCATCCACATACTTCATAGCCTTGGCAGCCATGACACTAAAACGATCACTTCTGGTGACCAGGAAGTTGCACGTGTTTCAACTCAGACTCTTAATTGGTTACCAGCATCACTGATGCTTCGAATAAAAACCAGACCAGGCTTCCTGCTATAGCGTCATCCCATTTGTGATTGTGATATCAGCATCGGTAGATTGACAAGACAAAAATCTAATCAAAGATTCTTTAGTTTGTGGGAACAGTTTTTAGGCAGCTTTTGACAAAGCCATTGTTGTTGCCGTTAAACAGTTCCTGTCTACACAGACTTCAGTCACAAAGTCTCATTTTTCTGAGGCCTTTCTTGAAACCTCACATCTATACAGACATACTTTCTTTTATTGCACTTCACTTTATTGTGCTTAGCAATTTTATAAATTGAAGGTTTGTGGCAACTGTGTGTTGTCAGATGATGGTTAGCACTTTTTAGCAATAAAGTATTTTTAAATTAAGGTATGTACATTGTTTTGTTAGACATAATGCTTTTTAAAAATTTTTTTGTTTTGTTTTGGGGGGATAATTAGGTTTATTTATTTATTATTTTTTGTTTTTTACTTAATGGATGTGCTGGGGATCAAACCCTTGACCTCGTGCATGCTAGGCATGCGCTCTACCACTAAGCTATACCCTCCCCCCAGACATAATGCTATTGCACACTTAATAGACTACAGTATAGTGTGTGAACATAATTTTTATGGGTACTGGGAAACCAAAAAATTTGTGTGACTCTGTGTTGTGCTGTTTGCTTTATTGCAGTGGTCTGGAACTGCAGTCTCCGAGGTGTGCTTGTGTAGCACTTTATAATTTACAGTTCTTTCATATGTATTATCTCATTTAATCTATAATAACAATCTTATAAAGAAGGCAGATAAAGGTGAGAAACCCTGAACATTTAAATGGCCTGTTTCACACAACTAGTATCAGAACCAGAGCCAGAACACCATGTTGCTTGCCTTTGACGATAGGGAGAGGGGCTGGGTGGGAGGGCAGGGATAACAGGGAAGGGTCCTGAAGGAACATAGCCCCAGCCTCTCTTCTCAGTGCCAGGTCTTGGCCAACTACAGGGACAGCTTGTCCTTGAGTCCTCACTGGGCACCACTGAGGACTCTGGGACGTGCCATAAATGAGTGGGTCAGCACTTCATATCAACCATGTGAGGTCAGTATTTTTGTTTCCCCCTTTTTGGAAACCAGGAAACTGAGACTTAGAGGGGTTAAATGACCTACCCAAGGCCACACAGTAGTAAGCTGGGGTTTTAACCAATGCTTAATAGCTCTCTGGTTTCTCTGTGCCTCAGCTCCTTCCTCTGTAAAATGGGGTAATCATAACCCTTGTCTCATAGGGCTGTTGTGAGGATTCAGTAAGAGGTGGCATTTTTATAAAGTGCTCAAGTGCCTGGCACTTAGTACTATGTAAATGTTGGCTATCACTACCTTTATTACTGTGTTGGACTTCAGAGTCAGAGTTGTTAACCACTGTGTTGTATTGCCTAATTTTTTCTCCATCTCTTCCACAAAACTGGAAGGAATTGGGCTAAGTGGAGCAGTTAGCCATTAGTGCCAATAAGCTGTATAACAAATCCAGAATGGACTTTAAAACTAGTTTTGAAAAGCTGGATCTTCAGTTCCCCACTTCATTGGTGTTGGAGTGGAGGGCAGACATCTGAGACGGCCGTGAAGCAGCATTGACTCTTGTGATCAGCACCTCAGCTTTCACTCCTGCTGGGCACCAGGGTGAGCTTGCTGGGGAAAGTGGTCTGTCCACTCACTCGATCCATGTCTGACCTTTGTTCTCTCCCCTCTCCCCTCCACCCCCACATAAGGCGAGAAACCGCACAAGTGTGAGCTGTGCGACTTCACCTGCCGAGATGTAAGCTACCTATCCAAGCACATGCTGACCCACTCCAACACCAAGGATTACATGTGCACTGAGTGTGGCTATGTCACCAAGTGGAAGCACTACCTCAGTGTGCACATGCGGAAACACGCAGGGGACCTCAGGTATGAGCACTCGCATGCCTCCGGCCCTATCCTAAGAACCCAGTGCTAAGCTCGCCTCCTCTCGAAGTCAACTTCTGGCCCCGTTGCTCTTCTAGCCCCGGAGAGACTCTTCATAACGCCCCTCTCTGCTCCTGTCATCTTGGCTCCACTGCCTGTAGCTGACCTCTGTGCACGTGGCCCAGTCTGCATGGTGAGAGCTCTCTGGGCTCAAGGAAGGGAGTGTAGACCCAAAGTAGAGGCCCAGAGACTAAGTTATCACCTGAGCTCTCAGAGTCCAGTCCTGGTGAAGTAGATGGACTATACTTGTGGCCCGAATCCAGGCCACTGCCAAATCCAGGCAAGTCCCCCTCTGATCTGTGGGCATAGCTGGCTAGGGGGTTTCTTCTTAGCTTTCATGCCTCCACGGGAGGTTGGAAACTAGGCACAGAAACCTGCCCTGTGGGGCTGTAGCCATGTCAGCTCCTCGAAAGTCCACAGAGGGTTGCTGATTCACGATATCTTCCCTTTAAAAAGCAATGTAGAGTAGGGGATAGAACACAAGCCCAAGTCTCTGCTTGGCATTATTAATTTTTGTGCTTTGGTCTCCTCACTTAGGAAATAGAGATACCTATTTCATAGGGTAGTGGAAAAGACAAATTAGATGATGCATGTGCAATATTGAGTGTAGAGCCTGGCCCATAGTATGTATTTATTTAGTGACTGGTAGTTGATGTGACTGATTTACAGTTGTGTTCTTCCCTCCTAACCAGATACCAGTGCAACCAGTGCTCCTATCGCTGCCACCGGGCTGATCAGCTGAGTAGCCACAAGCTGCGGCACCAGGGCAAGTCCCTGATGTGTGAAGTGTGTGCCTTTGCTTGCAAGCGGAAGTATGAGCTGCAGAAGCACATGGCTTCCCAGCACCACCCCGGAACGCCAGCCCCTCTCTACCCCTGCCGCTACTGCAGCTACCAGAGCCGCCACAAGCAGGCGCTGCTGAGCCATGAGAACTGTAAGCATACCCGCCTCCGCGAGTTCCGCTGCGCCCTCTGTGACTACCGCACCTTCAGCAACACCACCCTCTTCTTCCACAAGCGCAAGGTCCATGGTTATGTGCCTGGGGACCAAGTCTGGCAGCTCCGCTGTGCCAGCCAGGAGCCAGAGGATGCCACGCAGTGCCCAACACCCTCACCAGACTCAGAGCGGTCAAGCCAGCTGTCTGCCCAGCCTGAGGGGCCAGACCATGACCCTGGGACTATGGTGGACCCCAGCTTGGACCAGGCCCTGCCAGAGGTCAGCGAGGAAGACAGTGCCAGGAGACAGGACAGCAATGAGGTTTCCCAAGGGGATGACCTGGTTGGCAGCCCCAGTCCAGCGGCGGTGGATGAAGGCAGCTGCACACTACACTTAGAGGCCCTGGGAGTGGAACTGGAACCTGTGGCCGACCCACCCCTTGAGGAGATCACTGAAACTGCCCCCGTGGAGTTCAGGCCTCTGGATCCCTCTGGGCCCCTGAGCCTAGAAGGGCCAGATAGAACTTTGACAGAGTTGTCTACCTTTGAAAGTGCTGGAACTTCTGGCATGAGTGTTGAAGAAGAGCCCATTCTGGAAAAGCCAGACTCTGAGCCCCCTAGAAATCCTCCTTCCTCAGAGGAGCCCCCTAACAGATGGATGGGAACCTTGAAGGCAACTCCACCCACCGAGACAGCACCCCTGCCCCAGTTCCCTGAATCAGAGTCATTACTCAAGGCCCTAAGGAAGCAGGACAAAGAACAGGCAGAGGCGCTGGTGTTGGAGGGGCGGGTTCAGATGGTAGTGATACAGGGAGAGGGGCGGGCTTTCCGTTGCCCGCACTGCCCTTTCATCACCCGCCGGGAGAAGGCCCTGAATCTGCACTCCAGGACTGGGTGCCAGGGCCGCCGAGAGCCCCTGCTGTGTCCTGAGTGTGGGGCCAACTTCAAGCAACAGCGTGGCCTCAGCACCCACCTGCTGAAGAAGTGCCCTGTTCTGCTCAGAAAGAACAAGGGCTTGCCCAGACCAGATTCACCCATCCCTCTGAATCCTCTGCCCTCAGACACCCAGGCCTCAGAGGACGCAGAAGGTGGGAAGCCCCCACCTGCACCATTAGAAGTAGAGGTTTTGCTAGCAAAAGATGCTCCTTCTGAGCTTCCTGGAGAGCCAGAAAAGACAGAAGAGCCTCGTGCCACTCTCTCTGGCTCCACAGCCCTTCCTGCAGTAAACTCCTCACCCACAGAGGCCCCTGAGAAGTTCCGCTTTGAGCAGGGCAAATTTCACTGCAACTCCTGCACATTCCTTTGTTCTCGGCTCTCCTCCATTACCTCTCATGTGGCTGAAGGCTGCCGGGGTGGCCGTGGTGGGGGAGGAAAGCGAGGAGCCTCCCAGACCCAGCCTGTTGTGTCCCCACTAAGCAGCGGGGACTCTGCTCCCCTAAGCAGTGGAGATACAGAGTGTGGCCCTGGTGATGGAGATACGGCTCTGGTTCCAAAGCAGAAGGGGGCTCGCTTCTCCTGCCCCACGTGCCCCTTTAGCTGCCAGCAGGAGCGGGCTCTGAGGACTCACCAGACCCGGGGCTGCCCCCTTGAGCCATCTGGAGAGCTGCACTGTGGCCTCTGCCCGTTCACTGCTCCTGCTGCTGCTGCCCTGAGGCTCCACCAGAAGCGGAGGCACCCCACTGCAGCCCCGGCCCGCAGCCCCCGGCCCCCTCTTCAATGTGGGGACTGTGGCTTCACCTGTAAACAGAGCCGGTGCCTACAGCAGCACCGGCGGCTCAAGCATGAGGGAGTGAAGCCACATCAATGCCCTTTCTGTGACTTTTCCACCACCAGGCGGTACCGGTTGGAAGCTCACCAGTCCCGACACACAGGTATTGGCCGCATCCCTTGTAGCTCCTGTCCCCAGACATTTGGTACCAACTCAAAACTGCGCTTGCACCGGCTGAGGGTACATGACAAAACACCCACCCACTTCTGTCCTCTCTGTGACTATAGTGGCTACCTTCGCCATGACATCACTCGCCATGTCAACAGCTGCCACCAGGGCACCCCAGCCTTTGCCTGCCCCCAGTGTGAGGCCCAGTTCAGCTCTGAGACGGCACTCAAGCAGCATGCTCTGCGCCGGCATCCCGAGCCGGCACCGCAAGCCCCTGGCTCTCCCACAGAGGCCACCGAGGGCCCCCTGCACTGCTCCCGCTGTGGGTTGCTGTGCCCCAGCCCCGCCAGCCTGCGAGGCCACACCCGGAAACAGCACCCACGGCTTGAATGTGGGGCCTGTCAGGAGGCCTTCCCCAGCCGGCCAGCACTGGATGAGCACCGGAGGCAGCAGCATTTCAGCCACCGCTGCCAGCTCTGTGACTTTGCTGCCCGGGAGCGGGCAGGCCTGGTGAAGCACTACTTGGAACAGCATGAGGAGACTTCAGCAGCAGCAGCAGCAGCAGCCTCAGCTGAGGATGGAGATGCTGGCCAGCCCCCCTTGCGCTGCCCCTTTTGTGACTTTGCGTGCCGCCATCAGCTGGTGCTGGACCACCACGTGAAAGGGCATGGGGGTACCCGGCTCTACAAGTGCACTGACTGTGCTTACAGCACCAAGAACCGGCAGAAGATCACCTGGCATAGTCGCATCCACACTGGGGAAAAGCCTTACCGTTGTCACCTCTGTCCCTATGCCTGTGCTGACCCTTCTCGCCTCAAGGTAAGGTCAGGGGGCAGGGCCAGAAATGGAAGAAATGCAGGTTGTGGAATTAAACTACCTGGGTTCTCTAATCCTGACTCTTCCAAATACTAGCTTTATGACCTTGGTCAAGTCCCTTAATTTCTCCATGCCTCAGCTTCCTCATCTGTAAAAAGGGGATAATACTTCATAGGGTTGTTGCAAAGATAAAATTCCATAATATGTGCTTGGCATGTGATAAAAAGTGTGTAATAGGTTGGGGATAATCTAGATAACAGCTAGAATTTATTGAGCACTTATGCTGTATGCCAGACACTAATCCTTTCAAAAATACGACATAGTAACTTTTACAGTTTCCCATTTTACAGATTAATAAACTGAGAATTAGGGGTTAGGCACCCAACGACAGCTAATAAGGCAGAGCTGAGAGAGGACAGACCTGCGGGTAGGCCAAATGGGTTAGGGGGGTACCAGAGTAACTGGCCTAGGGAACATGATTGGCAATGGGGGAACATGGGTAGGATCAGAGCAGGGAACAGAATTATCTGCCAGCAGTTTCTCAGCCTGCTTGCCCTGTTTCCACATCCAGTGTGTACCAAGGGGTGCGCATTTTTTGGGTATATTCTTTGCTCTTTCAAACTCCTCCAGTACCATATGCGGATTCACAAGGAGGAACGGAAGTATCTCTGCCCTGATTGTGGCTACAAGTGCAAGTGGGTCAACCAGCTCAAGTACCACATGACCAAGCACACAGGTGAGTCTGCGTGGTTTTGACAGGCCCAAGGGCTTCCCCTGTTCCCTGGCACACCCAGCCTCTATGACGTGGTGTATATCTTTACTCAGATTCGGGGCGCACAGCAGTGTTCACCTTAAGGATAGCAGGTAGGCTAAGAAGCCAGAATAGCTTCCCAATCCACTGAAAACCCATCTGAATCAACCTGAGAGTCTGGGCACATGTACTTTGCAAAAGCTTCTGGGGAGATTGTGGCACAAGGCCACCCACCTCTTGTTGAGAACCTCCCAACTCAAACATGAGTGACTGAGCAGGTCTACCTGCACAGGCGGGATGAAACTGTCATGAGTAAGGAGAAAGTAGAGGGGTTCACCTATTTTAACTTGTCCTTTTTTTCCCTTCTGGGTACAAAGTCCATGGACCACAGGTTCTCAGAAATGGGTTCATGATGATATGCTGTGATTTTTGCATATGGTCCCGCATGTAAAGGAATTAACCAGATGTATTTCAAGGCCTTCTGTATCTATGAATACTACTTCTTTCACCTTTACCCGTTCCCTCTTAAGCATCTTTTTGTACTTCTTGAGTTGAACAAAGAGTTGTATTTAAATAGATTCCCATTTCCATGAGTACTCCATGACCAAAAGGGGGTCAGAATTCCCCTTGTAGAAACCTCATCATATTTGAGTATTTATCACCATCAGGTGGCTACTTAGGGGTCCAGTTAGTTACCAGCATCCATTGAGCACTCACTGTATACTAAAGGGGCTGTGTTGGGAGAAGGACACACCAGTGTCAGACAGGACTGGAACATTCCAAAGACATAGTCATCATTCACTTTGCTGCTTGTATTCTTTATGTCCCAGGATCACAGTGACTCTTCTGATCCACAGATCCTTGTTCCACCTCCTTCAGTGGTGATTTGTCCCCTGTCCTTGCCCTGTCCTACAGGACTGAAGCCATACCAGTGCCCTGAGTGTGAGTACTGTACCAACCGGGCTGACGCACTGCGAGTGCACCAGGAGACGCGCCACCGGGAAGCTCGGGCCTTCATGTGTGAACAGTGCGGCAAGGCCTTCAAGACGCGCTTCCTACTGCGCACCCACCTCCGCAAGCACAGCGAGGCCAAGCCCTACGTGTGCAACGTGTGCCACCGCGCTTTCCGCTGGGCCGCGGGCCTCCGCCATCACGCCCTCACACACACCGACCGCCACCCCTTCTTCTGCCGCCTCTGCAGCTACAAGGCCAAGCAGAAATTCCAGGTGGTCAAGCACGTGCGCAGGCACCACCCTGACCAGGCTGACCCAAACCAAGGCGTGGGCAAAGACCCCACCACCCCCACAGTGCACCTGCATGATGTGCAGTTGGAGGACCCCAGCCCTCCTGCTCCTGCTGCTCCCCAAACTGGACCTGAGGGCTGAGAGTGCCTTCCCTGCCCACCGCCCCCCCACCATTCCCCAAACTTCCCAGACAAGAAGAGGGTGTGAGCCAAGATGTGCAGACTGGAACCAGAGCTAGCCTGAGGAGCTCAGAGCAGAAGGAAGGGCTGGCGTCAGGGTGTCAGAGGCTGGAACCCTCCTGGGACTCTGGATGTAGTACTTGGAAGTTGACATAAAAGACATGGACCACATGTTGATTTCTTGTTGAGGCGCACTGTGTTTTTAACCTGTGAGTTCCTAATTTCTCCACCGTCATTCCACCGAAGTCCCTAGCTGTAAGAGCTTGCTTTTACCCATTTCTTCTTTTCTTTCCTTCTTACTATGTCAAGTCCTGTTTTCTTTCAGCGTTCTCAAAACAGTTGTATCTAACTGCATGTGCTGTTGTGCCCACTGCTCTGTAAAGCATGGTAAAATGACGGTAGCTTGTACAGATTCGTCCAAGTCCCTGACTTAACATTGCCAAGCTGTCATTTCAGTCTGCCCTGTGCTCTCTTAGACCTCTGTCTCTCCTTTGTCTCCTTCCATCTTCACTGAGGGACTGATTCTGAAACAGGCCCAGGTCTGCCTCCTCTCTCCTTGAGCCTCTCTCAGCCCTTGTCCTGCTCCCTATTGCCAAGCCCTTTTGTCTACCTGTAGAGGGAGGATTGCCACCCACTAAGCCTCCTCCTCCTGGAAGCAGCTTTGATTCAACATCCATCCTCAGACTGGCTCAGCAGCAGCACTATAGTTAAAGCACAAGGACAGGGTGAAATACAGACAGTTGGGGAGGTAAATCTCTAACCCAGAATTCTGTCAGGACTTCACAATGACTGGATAATTAATCATCCAAACTGGGACGCACTCGGAAAATTGAAGAGGGTACTATTAATAATTATGCTGAGACACCAGACACAAACCAGGATTATTCCAGGCAAACTCTTCAGGAGGACTGGGATCTTATGACTCTCTCCTCCCTTTGCCTTGGCCCTTAGAAGCCATACTCCTTACTCTTCCTGAGTAGTGCATGCAGGAGTGCCCCTGGAAACCCTGTCTTTCCACCTTTTCCCTACCCCACCTATCTACCCAAATGTCCCCCAACCCTCCTACCTCCCCTTCTTGCCCAACAATGAGAGACCATACTCAAGCCAAATTGGGAGAGAAGCTCTATTTATACCAGTGGGGCTAAGGAGAAGCAGTCCAGTGGGGACTCTGAGGGGTCTGCAGTGTTCTCTTGAGTCACAGTATAGTCCTGCGTTCAGGTCTCCTTCCCCAGCCTTTGCTTGGGGAGACTTGAGGCTTGATCTGTCCTTCCCTTGGCTCTGGACTTTGAGGAAGTTAGGGGTGGAGGAGATAGTGCCTCTTTGGGTTTCTCTGCCCCAAGCCCCTCTCTGGGTTTCTAGTTGCAATCTGCCTTTGAGCCAGAGTTGGTGGGAATGAGTAGTCCTAGATCTGGGTATGATACTGAGCCTACAGCAAGAGGAAGGAAGGAACTCCAGTATAGGGTATGTAGAGGGAAAGACAGTAATGATACCAAAGGCTTGTGAAAACGAAGAAAGGGAAGAGAAAAAGGGTGAAAAATCAGGTCCTAGATTTGCATAGCGGGGAAGATGTAGTTTTGTGCCTAGGAATGCCCAAAGCTTGGTTTTCATCACTTCTGTTTGCTTTCTGGAGCATCCTTCCAGGTTTTTCTTACCATCTAAAGCCAACGCACCCATCCATCCTATGAAGGGCCCTCCTTAAGAGTCAGCCCCCTCTAGCTCTTCCTGGGTGCAGATGTGCACGAAGATGGAGGCTGGGTGGAGGCTGATGCCATCCTTGGAGAGCAGGTGTATGTGGCGGTAACCTGGAAGGAGGGGGGAGGGCAGCATTAGAGAGGCAGCCAGAGCTGGGGTGTGGGCCAGGGGTGGAGGAACGGGCTCACCTTGTTGCATGCAGTTCCAGGGCAGGGTGTACTGACCAATGAAGTCATTTCGGGACTTCCAGTCATAGTCTTTTACCACAAAACGCAGCAGGGCCAGTTCAGGTACCAGGATCCGGAAGCATAGGGTCTGCCCCCAGTATGGGTTAAAACCTGAGCGGAGGAGGGGGAATGAGGGAGGGAATGAAGGAGCAGACATTGTTGGCTATTATCTTTAGGCCCATGCCCAGTTGCGTTCCTTGTGTTCTCTCACTTAATTTTCATAGCATTTTACAGGTGAGGAAATTGAGACTCCGAGTGGGTAAGTAATTTGCCTAAGTCACTGGAGCTTGTAAGTGAGGGGCCAGGATTCAGACCCGAGATGTCCAAGTCCTTGTTCTTTCTGCTGTTTCACACTGCGTCCCATGGAGGTGGCAGGAGGTTGTGATGGACTGTACTTAATGGGGGGCTGGATGGTAGGAAAACAAGTTGTGCTTCTCCCTCCCCCCAGCACTGCCCAGTCTCACCATTGTTCTCCACGTAGCTGGTCTCTTGCCGGGCTGTGTCTGGGCGAACGCCAAAGATCTCCACTCTCACCAGTGGATCCACAATGGACCCCTCTTTGTTCTTGTCCACTTTGGGGAGTTGCTGACCACTGATAACCTGCAACCAGGGCTCTGGAACCTCACTAGTTTCTGCTCAGCCCAGCCCCCCTCCAGCTCTCACACCCTGAGGGGGAGGAGGAAGGCTGAGGGGAGAGGGAGACACAGGACCTTGCACTATAGCTTTTGGGTTTGCAAAGCTAATTATCCATGAATAATTTATTTTCTTTGAGTACCTTATCTGCAATTTAAAATGCATCCAAGTAGGAATTTAACAAGGTTTGAAAGTAGGTGTGTTAATGACAGCAACCCTTCCATAGTACTTGCACTGTTGTAAGCACTTTGTGTTAACGAATCACAACAGCCCTGTGAGGTACGCAGTATTATTACCCGAGTCTTGCAGGTGAGGAGACTAAGGTTAAGGAGTTTGCCCAACTTTACACAACTAGTAAATGGGGTTAAACCCAGGCAACAGGGTCCAGAGTCCATGCTGCCTCTCCCGAGAAAGTTTTCACCTACTACACTCCTGTCAGGCATAGCCACCACCTCTCCCTCTCCCCTCACCCTCCCCAGCTCCTATCCATTATCTCGGTTTCTTCCCAACAGTTTCATTTCCATTATACCTTGATTAGGAGGACCTGGGCTTTGAAAGGGCTGATGGGCCTCTCAGGGTGGAAGGAGCTCTGGGCATCACGCAGGAAGTCTGGCTTCAGCACATAGCCACAGCCCGCATTCTGGCGGAAGAGCCCATCACAAAGGTCCATCTCAAGCCCCGCAGTCTGCATATTCATAGCCACTGAAGGCCCCAAGAGAAAAGGGAAAAGATTCACCTTGGAGCTATCCAGCCCTTCTTTCAGGCAGTGAGACAGACATATTGGGTATAAAAGGGCTGCTGGGAACACCATAAAGAGCATCTTTGTCAGCCTAGCAGTCTTGGAGCACTCACTGGCCCTACTGCCGCTCAGGGTCTTACTTCCCACCCGTTGTTCTTCCAACTCCCTCTTCCCTGTTCCTACTGCCCTCTCACCCATCTGGCAGCCTGCATTCCAGAATTCCTGGGGGTTATAGTTGGATGAATCTGTCCTCAGGCCACTGGGATACACGCGGCTTAGCTGCCAGGTGTTGTGCTGCACAAACTCATTGCCTGTAAAGAGGATGTGGGTAGGGAGATGGAAGTGGTGGAATAGATCCTCCCATTTCCCTGGTCCCAAGGACCCTTCCCACCCACTTCACTCTCTCTAGCATCTCCTAAGGCTGGCTCTAAGAAGCTTTGCTATGCTTCCCTCTCTGTTCTAGCCAGATCATCTCCCCCAGCTTTCTTTCCTCTAGAGCCTTGAGCCCACTATTTATACTCCTGTCTCCATGTCTGCTCTGAGGAGTTTCTTGGCTCCCCAATCTCTCCATAGCTCCCTCGTTCTCTGTCTTGAGACTCATCTGCCTGCCCATCAGACCTGACCCTACCCATCCCATTTCCTTCCCTATCCCTCCCTTTTGGTCCTGACCAGCCTCCTTGATGAGGCTCTTGGCCTTGGCTTCAGAGAAAGATGACATTTCATAGAAGCGGTAGTGCTCCCTTGAATGAGCAAAGCTGTAGAATGAGACAGCCTTCAAGTAGACAACCAGGGAAGAGAGGGATGGACACAAGATGGGCTTGGATTTCTGGAAAAGGAGAAAGTAGAGAGGAGAATGGAATTGAACCCTCAGTAATCTGAGAGGGAAGAAGCCAATGGCCAAGACCTGAACTTCCCCACCCAACTTAAGCCTCTGCCCGCTGCCTCCCCACTGTAATTTCCCTCCTGCCTCACCTGCTTGGGAGAGAGAAGGAACCCAGGCTTGGAAATAGGAGCCTGAGCCACAATCTGACAACACATAGGCGAACACAACAGCGGGCACATCACAACCTGAGGATGGGAATGGGAGTAAAGGCAGTCTGCATATACTGATGGGATCGATTTCAGCCTCTGGGCTTGAAGGGTCTGCTCTATGTTACTTTCTTGGAAGCAGGTTTTTAATTATTATTATTGTTGTTGTTGTTGTTGTTATTAAACAGAGATGTCATCCTCCCTAACTCTCATCTTTTAAAACAAATTAACAATACTTTTTTGTCAAAATGAACATGAGCCCAGACAGATATGTCAAGGTGTGCAAATGGCCATGGAAGTCACACCTAGAAGGATGTGAGAGTCCCAGAGTAATATCTTTAGATTTTTCTCCTGAATTCCCATTTCCATCCCTGGGCATGGCAGCAGGTTAGGCAACACAGCTCCAGAAAGAACAGGATAAGCTAGGAGTCAGTCAGCTGAGCCAAGCAAGTGCACAAGAGAGAGAAATGCAGACTTCAAAGCAGGATCTTGGTGGTCCCACCAATGGCACCCCTGGCTCAACTCTTCCTGCTACTCCTCTTTGGCTGTTTCTGGCTCCTCCTCAGACTCACCTTTTCCAAGAAGCTTTCTCTGTCTAACTAAGCCCACTTTAGTTGAAGTCACAGCAGTCACTCTACTAAGCCCTACTTACCCAGTATAATAATGCCTTATAATAATAAGTGCACATACGCACACACATACACATCAGTGGTTTTCAAATTGGCCTTTAAGGAGACTGGGAAGTAGTACAAAGAAACCTCAGAAGTCACCTGGGGGATCCAGGAGAGAGCCAGATAGGTGCTTCAACTAGGATGGCTCTGCATTTATCAATTTTGTACACTGATCTTCCACAGAAGATTTCATTAAGGAAAGATTTCACAGCCCACAGAAGTTGGAAAGCCACTGCAATATATCTAAATATGACTATGGATAGATAGATAGATAGATAGATAGATAGATAGATAGATAGATAGACAGACAGACAGACAGACAGACGCTATGTTATATATTTTTAAATGCCTCTTTCACTGGAGGCAAGGAGCATTTTGCTCCTTGGCCCTTCACCCTGCATGACTCTAGTCTCTTCACACATGAGCTCTCAGCTTGTGGTGCAGACTATTCAAATGCCAGAGCAGAAAGACCACTCTCCTGGCTTACCTTGTCATTTTTGTCCTTACTGCGAGGGCTCAACTCGTGGGGCTCAGACTCAAACTGGGCCTCCAGCTCCAGCTCAGCCTCCTGCTCCCCTTCCAGTTCAGATTCTGGCTCTTCTTCCTCTTCCTCAAAGTCCTCCTCAAGTGTTTTTAACTTCTTCCCCTTTACCAGAATCTTCCCCCGAAGCTCCTAGGGGACAAAAACAAGGGACCTGTCTACCTGTTTGCTCCAGAACCCACCTGGGGATCAGGCAGTTCCCACTGCTCTCACAGGGCCACCTCAAAGGCAAAGGAAATGAGTGAGTGGTCAGAAATTCCCACAGGAAAGCTGCTTGATACATACAACAGGGATTTCCTATTGTTAAGCAAACTTGCAACATCTCTAACCATAAAGAGAAAAATAAATTGGAACCCCCTACACCTTACATTTGACAAAATTTAATACATTTAATAAAGTTTTAATAAATATAATAAAATTTAATAGAATTTAATAAAAATCCTCATAGATTAAAGATTTACATGTAAATATAAAGAACATAAGAGTATTAGAAGAAAGTAGAGAATCCTTTTGAATAATCTTAAAGTGGGAAAACCTTTAAAATCATGAGATGAAAACTTAAAAGACATAAAAATAGTTGGCAGATTTGACTACATAAAACTTAAAAACCTCTAAAAGGCAGAAGTTGCTATAAAGACGAAAGAAAAATAGACAGCAAGAAATATTTCCCAAAGCATTAATATCTTTAACATAAAAAATTGTTACATATCAACAAAAATGATAAACCCTAATAAAATTGGGTAAATGATATCAATTCAAAAGAAGAAAACATAGACCTTTTTTTAAAAAAAAAAACTTGACTTTTTTTCATGTTTGCCATTGAATCATCTCACTACTAGAGTTATTTGTAGTCGCTCTCTTACTACTGTTGGTTGGAATGCAGTTTGGTATTTTTTCCAGAGGGCAACTTGACAATAACAGCCAAAAATATCAGTATGCAAACTTTTCAACCCAGCAATTTTGCTTCTAGGAATCCATTTGAAAGAAAGAGTACATGGGCAAAGCTGCATGTGTGAAAAATTATAAACAACCTAAATGGTTATCATTTACTCATTTTTACCATCTATAGGTTGAATAAATTATGATCAATAAAAAAATGGAATACCATAGAGTTGCTAAAAAGGAAAAAAATGATACTTGAAAAGACATTCATGATATATATGTGAGATATAAAAGGGATATAAAGGATGATCCCATTCATGTTTTTTAAAATGTGAATATATATACACATACAAGTTTACATAAGCATTTAAAAAAATCTATTGGCAGCTGTTGTGGGAGAGGTTGAGATTATGGTGGGGACATTTCCCTTTCTCTATATTGTTTGTATAGCCTACAACAATTATGAACTATCAGGAAAATAATTAAATTTTCCATTGAAAAAGAAATATAAAGTAAATAAATGATTTAAAATTTAGAGAAATATATAAAGAATTTTATGTTGAATTAGATTTCTTAAATTAAAGTTGTCTCCAAGGATATTAAAGAGCAAGATGGTCCACCTGAGGGTGAGAAGAAGGGAACAAGATGGGCATGGAGGAAGGAGCCTAAGTGGGGCAACAGGGAAGCCATAGTGGAGCCTGGGCTGTGGGAGCAGGGTCCCTACCTCAGGGGAGGGCAGCTGAGTGGGAAGCTGCCCATCCAAGGTGGTGCTCAGCAGCTGCTCCCCCAGGATCTCGGTCAGATGGTGTGCTATGACCTCCTGCTGTTCCCAGCTGCAGTGGTTCTCCAGGGACAAGATGACTGGATAGTCTGATGTCTGATGGGGAGCAGAGGCATGCCAGGGTCAGAGTTCTGAAGCCTGTAACCTTCCTTCTCCAGGCCCCTCAAATACTCACTCAACTGTGCCTGATTGCCAAGGTCTTCCAACCCCATGTCATGCCTCATGGGGGTCTTCCTGGGTCTGGGGCCTACCCCACATCTAGAAGTCACTATTGGGCTCCCAAGTCTCAGATCTGCACCAGGTCTGGCCCAGGTCCTTCCAGGACCTTTTGAGTTTTCAGGCTCAGGATGGGAAAGTCAGGCTATTCCCCCAGTTACGTGTTCATGTTACACCTTCAGGCTTTCATTTCCAGATTCCTATTGTCTCCCAGCTCTACCCACCACTTTGTCTGTTTCCTCATCCACCCTCTCCCAGATGGGTGATAAGAGTTGTTAGAAGTAAAAATTATTAATCTCTAGCAATTACCTCTATGACTAACAATTACTAGTAACACATCCAACACTTATTCATAACAATCCCTTAATAATTTGCCTGATGCTTCAAGTTAAAATCTTTTACATAAATGCCTTTTCCCTAACCTTCCCTGCTTCCCTCCACCCACCTCAGACCGAGACCCTCTACCTTCACATCCTCTTGCCTCACCAGTATTTCCATCCTGAGGCTCCTACCTGGAAGGCATACTGTGCTATAGCAGTCACAACATCTTTGAATGGGATGCGAGAGGTCAGGGTGTGTCCATGGTAAACAATAGGTTCCCCGCTAGGTCCATCCCATATATCCACCTCCACGCAGCGGCATCCCCGCTTCAGGGCCCTGCAAGAACCCCACCCCCCAGGGATTAAGATCTGATCTTCCACCTAGGGAATCTCCCCCCACTTTGGAGAGAACAGTGCTCAGTGGCACTTACCCATTAAGATTCCTTCAAGCTACAACTCCATGGACTCTTCTCTGTCTACTGGGACATTGCTACAGCTCACACTGATCTTGGCTCCACCCCACCCCACCCAACTCACAATCTTTCCTTAGCAAGCCGTCACTTACTGCCTTCTGGTGTTCTGGTTGTATGTCACTATACGACACATGAGTTACTCAAATTCTTGGTAAATTTACATTTTGTTTTCTGTACTAGACTTCCTAGGGAAGAAACTACATGTTCCACTCATCTTTGTATCAGCCGCTGGCACTACACAGACACCTTTATCTAATCAATGATTAATCACAATAAAAGCAGATACCATTTATTTGCTATTGATACATGGATTATCTCATTTAATCCACACAATAACCTGGACAGAATAGGCATTATAAGCCTCCCTATTTCTCAGATGGGGAAACTGAGGCATATAGAGGGTAAATACTTAGGTCCAGAGTACAAAGTGAGGGAGCTAGTATTTGACCTCAAATAGTCTGACTCCAGAACCTATGTTTTTAACTCTTCTGCTATACTGCCTTCCATTTAACATTTAATTTATTTGTTTATTCAAAATAAATCTGTCAGGACCTCTTAGTTCCAAGAGAATTGCATTGCCTGTGAAAGAGAGAAGCTGCATTTAGCCACAGGGTTTCAATACCACTCTCCTACTAGTCTTCAATATCTCCTCCAAGTCTCTCAGGTATCCAGGGACCCTCAGCCCCAAATCGCCCCCAGCAACTTTTCAATCTCTGTTATCTACTGACAGCACCCCTCAACTTCCCACAGATGTGCCCTTCTCATGAGCTGGACCCCTTCACCCCTCCTCGCCACTGCACCGTATATATCCCTCCACGCTGCTCTGGCCACAAAACTGGTCTCCCACTAGGTAGGTATTGTGGGATGAGTTGATGTAGTAGTGGTTCAGGGGTTGAGTCATATCCTGGTAGATAGGGAGGCAGATCGGATTGAAGATGTCTCCATCCTTCGAACAGAGGTAGCTCAGGAAGCCATCCATGCTCAGCACATGCCGCAGTTTGCCTAGGGTGTGGAGAAGGGGAAGGTTAAAGTGAGAAACTCTCAGCAGAAGTATCCAGCACACCTACAGCCGGTTCTCCACCCCACCCTTCTCCAGGGTTTGGCCTTTCAGATGGTGTCCACTCCCAGCCTCCAGATCCCAAACTTGCCTCATCCAGTGTCTGTCATTTCCAGGGTCAATCACCCCCACCCTGAGGGAATGTTGAAGCTACAAGGGGAATCATTAAGATCATCGTAGTCCAATACTGTCCAATAGAACTTTCTACAATGATGGAGATATTCTATTCTGCATTGTCCAATATGGTAGCCTCTAAGTACACAAAACTACCGAGGATTTGAAATATAGCTGTGTGACTGAGGAAGTGAACTTAAATTTTTGATTTTAGTTACAGTCATCTCTCAGTATTCACAGAGAATTGGTTCCAAGACCTCTCCCTTCCCCACAGCAGATACCAAAATCTGCACACTCAAGTGCCTTGCATAAGATGGCATGGTAGAGTTGGCCCTCTGTATCCACAAATGTGGAAACTGTGGATACAGAGGGATGATTGTAATTTAAATTTAAATAGTCATATGCAGCTCATGTTTACCATAATGGACAGAACAGTATTCAGTCCAAAGGGCTAATTTCATAGTTGGGGAAACTGAAGCTCAGAGAGGATCAAAGTCAAAGACTTGTCAGTGACAAGACCAAGGTACCTGTGTTTTATTCCCTGGACTGTGTAGCTGCTGCCAGCTATGGCCTGAAGGTTTCTTCCTATTGTCAATTCCCATATAGTGTTTTGAGGAGTGTTGTCCAACATTCCCTCGGACTACACTCTTCCTGAGGGCAGGGCCCTGTCACTCCTTCCACAGCCCTCGCCCACCTCAGCATGGGCTTCAAGTAATAACAACGGTGATGACTAACAGTTCTTGAGCACTTGCTCTGGGCCAAGGATGTTGCATGCAGCAGCTCTCTTAATGCCCTCACCAACATGACAGGAAGGTGTAATATAACCTGCCCTGAGAGGTTAGGTAACTTATCCCACGTCACGTAAATAATAAGCGAAGGAGCTGGGATTTGAACACAGGCAGCGAGGCATCAGAGCCACGCCCTACACCGCTGGATTGTGCAATCTCACTGAGGGTAACATTGCTGCAGAGGAGGCAGAACCACTTGACACTCATGCCCAGCTTCCTTGTTCCGGGTTTGACAAGGCCTAAGGATGGGTGAGAACAGCAAGAAGTTGGGCACAAAGGGGTTTTCTTGACTGTAATCGCTAGGCTAAGTCCACAGTTGCTAGACCCATTTCATGTACATTATTTCTTTTGATCACCAATTTTTTTTTACAAATGAAAAAATTGAGTCTCTGATAGATTAAGCAACTTGCCCATGGTTACTCAGTACGAAGCAGAGTGGGGACTTGAGCGCCTGTCTCCTGACTGATACCACACTCTGCAGCCAGAGTGCAGTATCCGATAGTCAAGTGCAAAGGGAAAGAACATCACAGTGACTTGCTCTTCTATTTAGTTTTCTGAAATGCTTGCCCTACAGCCCCTTTCTTTTCTGTGCACTCACATGAATCTGGAATCAGTAACACTTTCTGTTTGACTCCATGACCTAAAGTTCCTTGAGGGCAGTGTCCTTGTCTGACCTACGGCTACATCTCTGGTGCCTGACTTGAGTCCTGGCACACTACCCGTGCTCAGTGAGCATTAGCTGAAGTAGTGAGTGAATGAATGAATGAAACGGAGTGGGGGTCAAGACCTAGGCAAACTTGGTCACTTATCCAGCTCTGATTCATCTCCTCTCTAATCCTCATTCTCAAGAGAGGCACCTGGTAAGAGTCAGATGACCTGGGTTTGAAATCCAATTCCTCCTGTCATTATCTGGGGACTTGAAGCAAGTCATTTAATTTTTCTAAACATCAGTTTTTCTCTTTTGCACAACTGACTTAATAATAAAACCCACTTCAACTGATTGTTGGGATGATTAGAAGACGAAAGTCATGTAGAGATATTAGCACATTATGGGATACTTAGCAAAGGCCAATAAAGGTTATTGCTTTTGATTGACAAGGCTATAGTGAGGACTAGATGAAGTAAGAGATGTGGAAATGCCTTGTGAGTCACTTCTTATTAATAATGTAAATTCCTCACATTCTGCAGGGAACTCAGGGGTGGGGGTGGGCAGAAAGGTATCTACCAAAGGGGCAAGGAGAAAGGTTTGAGGGCAGAGGAGGCAGATTTTAGCTGTGATTGTTAAAAGCTAAGTGACTGGTCACCTCATCATCCCCCTTAGCCCAGGGCTAATTTCTTGGTTCAGGGGTTTAGGACTCAAGAACCACTTGCAGAATTTGGAGAAAGCCCAGGAAAGGGCAGAGAGCCAGCACTTAAAGAAACAGTCAACAGAAACCATGAAGGAAACTAGAAGAAAAGGAATACATGCACTAGAGGAGAAAAGGCCAAAAGCAAGAGGACCAAGGATTTTCTGATTCCACTTAGGACAAAGGTTCGTATCAGGAAAGAGAAGGATGTGAAACATGAGCATGGTGGAGGAAAGGGGACTTATGGAATATTCTTCCTCCTGAGAGATCTAACACTACAGAGGAGACTCATGTATTATGTGGGCAGGAAATGACTCTCTCCTTCCGAGGAGTGTCGAATAAGATGAAAATGATTGGGCAGGGGGCCAGAGTAGGGGTGGATTCAGCCTTCCCTTGGTCAGGCAGAAGGCTGCTTGTCTCTGGACCTTTCTAATCATTGTCCCGCCATCTAGCCCCCATGTCTAGTGCCTCTCCACCCCAGTCCTCTTACCACTATCTGAAGGCTCATGGCGGTCGATAAGTTCCAGGGCAAGGTCAGAAGCATGTTCTCCTTCTTTCTGCCACTCTTGGAGGAAATCCACAAATTCCAGCAGTGTCAGCTTCTGCCCATCAGATGAAAAGTTTTCAAACAGTTCCTGCACCTCAGCACGTTGAGTCAATGACTTATAGAAATTTACAAATTCTTCTCCCTCCAGAGTTCCAGACTGGGATGCGTCTGCTGTCTGCAAGAGAAGGTTTAGAGGAACGTGGACAGACCCTTTAACAGCAAATTTTAGGGCTCTGACTTGCCCTCTCAGGGCAATACTATTGATAGATCCAAACATACTTCTACAAAACCCCTACAGAACTCCTGAGATTTAGTGTTCATAGAGGAAGCCACTTCAATAAGTAAAACACAAACAAAATTTTAGCCATACTATTTGCTACTAGAGAAAATTTTCAACTAGATAGAATTAAATGCCCCAACAGGTTGCTAAAAGATCAGAAGATCTCTCCTCCTATTTACTCACATGCCAGTTGGAGTTTTCCACCGCACCAGGCACTTAGGAAATTCTGACCAAGGACAGAGAGGTCCCTGAGCTCTGATGTAATAACATATTGTTATTTACCTTTCATAAGATTATGAGTCATCTTTCCAACAACACTGAAATGTAAGAATCATGTCCTACTCTTCCCATTGAGCCTGGCATAGTGCTAGGGCACATAGGAGAGATTGAACAAATGAGTGTTGATAGGGTCAGAGGACATCTGGCCAAGTAAGAATGCGGCCTTGGCTGGCTTCTGCTAATCCTTCTCCAGAAGACTCACCTGGAAAAGCTGGAAGGCATGTTCTTGGTCCATTTCCACATTCATCAGGTGCAGTAACCGCTGGACCTCTCTGAAACTCATGCGACCATCCTGGTTTTTGTCTCCACGCTGGAACCAATCACTCAGCCATCCAGGTCTGAGTCAAGGCAAAAACACTGTGTGTGTGTGTGCATATTCATCCAACAATATCTGCTCCCCTGTCTTTGCCACCAGTCTCTTCCCCATGCCAGTTCATTTTCCCCATTATTTTCCAGAATAATCTCCCCAGAGCACCAATCTATCTTGTCCCTGCATGGCTCAGGTGCTTGCAGGAACCTCCCTGTTTCCTATAGAAAGAAGACCAAATTCCTTGCCATAGATGTTAAGATCTCCTTCATTTCCATGCTCTGGTCCCAACCCAGCCTTCTCAACACATTTCTGTCCTCTCTGTACCTCAGCCAGACTCAGCAGCTCCCTGCTTCCTGATGTTCCTCTCTCTGCTCTTCAGATTCCTATCTCTGAGCTTTTACTCATTCTGTTCCCTCAGGCAGGAGTGCCTTTTCCTCCTCCTCTCTTCATGTTCAGGGGCTGTTCATTTTCAAGGCTCAGCTCAAATGCTACTTCCTCCCTGAAACTTTCTCAGAACCCTCCCAGCTAAAATTAAATATTTCTCCTTCTTTTGAACACCCACAAATAACCTAAGTAACATAACACTTCTATGGTACTTTGCTTATTTACACAATTCCATTCTCTCTACTGACTGAAATAATATCTGAGTCTCATTAATCTTTGTACCTCTTAAGCCTGGCCTAGTGCCCCATACATTCTACTTAACAATGGTGAATGAATGAATGAACTGGTGTAGAAGGTGAATACAATCTAGGAAACTTGAAGTGAGTTGACACCACTAAGACCTCTAAGGGGTTGCTTCTCATCCCTATGGTAGTTAATGCCACTGGGATCCTCTGTTCAGCTCTCAGGATCAACTCCTAATTTGGTCCTTTGCCTCTCACTGTCCCTTCCCCTAATCCTGTGGGCCCTGATTCCTTCCCAGACTCTGCCTGGCTTTGCCTTTGCAAGCTGTCAATCCTCCCTCAGTATCCTCAGCCTCACATTGGGCTGAGCTGTCCCTTCCCACCCCATCTGGATTCTTGGGCCTCCCTGGCCCCGTACCCCCTCCCACTTGTCCCCAGCCCTGCTGCATCTGGCTCCTTCTGTGATCCCTGGCCCCAACTCTGACTCCATCCTGTCGATACTGGTCCAGTCGCTCTTGTTGGTCCATGCTAGTGACAAAGTCCACCAACAGTCGGAGCCCCTGCATCCAGACCTGGGCCTCCTCAACACTGTTGGCCACCAGGTCCAGGTTGGAGCGACGGCCGTGGAAGACGATGGTGAAGCCCTGCTCCAGGGGGAGCTCCTCTGCCAGGTTGCGCAGCAACTCAGACTCATGGCCCTCACGCACTGTGTCCACGTCAGAGATTGAGACTGGCAGAGAAGAAGCAAGTGGGGACACTTAGGAAGAGAGTCCACCAAATTACAGCAGCTAAAGGTTAAGGACCAGTACCCTCTTCCTCTCTGTGAAGCCAGAGGAGGAGAGACCCCAGCCTCCACAGGCTGAAACCTCCAAAGTCTTAGTACAGGGAGATGCAGACCCCTGGGATGCAGGATTCCCCATGAGCCATTGCTGTTTTCTTAGGCAGCATGGCAAGGTGTCTATGCTAGGAGTGGCAAGACCTGGCTTCCAGCCACCAGCTGGCAGTGTGACCCAGATCAAAATGACTTAAGTGCTCAATATCCTCATCTTAAATAAGGGATGGTCCCTTCCATGGCCAGCCCACATGGTGGTTTCACATTCCTGAAAGGACTGACAAATAGTAACACACTTGTAGGGGGGAACAGTTACACCAAAGCATGAATTCCCAAACTCAATTCTCCCATTCCAGGCTGGAGTGCTTTCTCTTTCCAGATGTCTAGGAGGGAGCCAGAGAAATTCTTCCACCCCTTTTCTTTAGCTGGGGGTGGTGTGGATCATGAACTTCGAAAGTAGATTCTCTTAGATGTGTCCTGTGATCTAATTTTTAGAGGGATCATAAAGTGTTTGGCCAATGGGATGCACAATGTTATGATACATTTATGATATTTAAACATATTTATCATAATGACTAACATTTATTAAATACATTCTGGTTTTAGGTCTCATGCTAGGTGCTTTACACATTAACTTACTGAGCCTCTGTAACCTACTAGGCAGGTCCTGTTTAATCCCAATTTTATGGATGAGGAAACTAAAATTTAGTTTAAGTAACTTGTCCCGAGCCACTAAGCTAGAAATTGGCAGAGCCAGGGCTTTAATCCAGGCAGTCTGATGCCTGTGATCATGCTCTTAATTTTAACAACAGGATATAACCTGTGATTTGTTAAGCCTTATTATGTGCCAGGACTCGCCTAAGCCCTTTGCATGCAATAACCAATTTGATCCTCATAACAAAGAGGCAAGTATTGTTACAATTTCCATTTTACAGACTCAGACATAGACAAAATGGGACCAGACAGGGGCACAAGTAGGACACAGGTCCTTCCCCAGCTCTCAGGCTGCTGGGCTCCTCAGGGTCGTATCCACCCATGTGCCCCCCCACCCCACTGCCCCAGCTATCCACATCACTCACAGCTGGGCTTGGCCCTGCCTCCGGCCTGCCGGGCATGCCAGACTGTCATGCCATCGTCCTGAAGTCTGAAGTATCTTAGCTTCTTCCAGCTTTTGGACCTCACCTTCCGCATCATCGTGCCTTTCTGCATCAGCAGTAGGTCTTGATTGATGGGCAGCCCTGAGCCAGGAGAAGCAGGGACAGGGTAACTGGAGGGGAGGGTAGAGGGCTCAGGAGCTCTTTGGCAGGGGTCTAGCCTCCGCCCCAACCCTAGGATGTCTCCCCAAGCCCTCTTCTCCTGCAGAAGTACTCACGGCCCTGCAGCAGGGACGCCATCACCCACTGCTTTACCAACTGATGCCAGAGTCACCTAAAGGAGCAAGGAGGAGCAAGAGGCTTTAGGTTAATCTTGATGGTCTTAAAATAACAGATCAAGGGAGGAAGAGGAGGAAACTAGTGTTTCTTGACTGTCCACTGTATGTCAGCTACTTCATCTACATAGCTTGTAGCTCTTTTTACTTCTAATTTGAATTTGGTGACTCTGAGCTAATAGAGGCTGAGAAACCTGCCTCAGTCACATAGGGATTCAGAATTTAAACCCAAATATATCTGATTCCAGAGCCTCTGTTCCTGAAGGGCTAGGGCAGAGCACTTCTTTTGTCTCTTCTACAACACTTAGTGCTGTACTTAGCTAAATAAGCCACCTTTTCTACCTTCGCACAGTAAAGTTTATTATACACTCTTTTTCACAGCAGTTATTCTCACAGTTTTAATGGACCAGATAAATTACATAATCTCAGAACTGCATTTTCAAGTCTTCTCTACCTACTAAAAAAGTACTATCTTTAAATATATGCTGTATAATTTAGGTCCTGGTTAAGTTCTCCTAGTAGCTAATAGAAAACTTGCCTTGAAAAGAACGAAGACTTAATTTGTGGCCACTTTGATTCTAGCTCTGCCCCTAGAAGAAATATACTCAATTCTTGACCAAATCATGCTGAAACTAACTAGCCAAGCTCATGAAATATAAAGCTGTGTGTTTTTGTATGAGCAAAGGATCTACACTTGAATGGAAATGTGGGTTTTTTAAATCAATAAGTTTAAAATTTTGACAGTGGTGAACATCTGAAAAACAAAGAATCCTTAAAGCAACCAGTTAGTGCTCCATTAAAACATCAGGCAGTTCAACTCCCTACATTTTACAAATGAAAAAGCAGAAGTTCAGAAATGTGATGTGACTTTTTTGAGGTCACACAGCAATTTAGTGCCCTCTCATTATTAGGAAGAGCTTATAAAGTCACCCAGCATGTTAAGTTTTTAGGAATAATGTGGAAGTCATAGAAAATACAGCTTTCCTGACTGCAGGACCCAGAGAAGGTTTTCTAAAGGAGTAGACATGCACAAGTGCCCAGAGGGAGAGGAGAAAGTTAGGAATCAGTCTGAACCTAAGCAGAAGAGATAACTCAAGGCAGCGCTCAGGAGAGCAAGAACCCAGCAACAGTTCCAAGAAGAAAAGATTTTGCTGGTTGAAGCTCAATATGTAAGCCTGGATGAGATCAAAAGAAACCTCTGGATAGAATAAGAATGCCAGAGTGCTTCCTGAAAGACAGAAAAGCATCTCTGCTTTGCTGGGTGGGATGAACAGTTTGGAAACTGAGGTTTGCAAAAGCCATGTGAAGACTGAAAAGTAACAGATTCCTCTTAGATGTCTTAGGTCCTCAGACTCTACAGTGGAATGTGATTAGCCTGGGACTGAAGTCTAATCCCCCTTGCCAACATCCTGCCTTATCTCCCCTCTGAGCTTCTGGGATGGGTGGACCATGGCCCTGGAAGAAGACAGAATTACCTTCCCTTTTGCTTATGTCCAGGAGCCTCACTACAGTGTCCTGAAACAGGCAAGCCTGAGAACAGAGCCCAGGTGCTGGGACACCAGCTCCCTCTTCTCAAATCAGCCTTAGAAAATTATTTTATCCTCTTTTGTCAAACTCTTTCAACTTCAGGGCTTGGCATGCCCTTCTGATCCTGCTCCCATTCCTGAATCCTTATTTTAAACTTGTATGCAGGTGACATGTAGCCATTAGATGGCCAATTTCAACTCAGGGATCCACCAGAATATTACAGCTGGACTTCATTTTATAGAGAAGGGGACAGAGAACTAGAAAGATTAGCTGAACTGCCAGTCAGATGAATTAAGTGGCAGAACTGGGACTAGAACTGAGGTTTCCATCTGACAAGCTCAGAGATCACACCAAGACTTTGCCCTTAGAAAGGGCTTTCTCTAGGAAGCAGATTAAAGGAGAGCTATCAATGAGGGGCATCAATGTTTTGTCTCTGCCTCCATCATTCCCTGTTCCCACAATATCCCACTTAATAGCCTTTCTTTTCTTCCCATTTTCTTTCCTTTCCCCATCCTCTGCCTGACCCTTCCTTTTTCTTTCTCTCCAGCTTACTCTTTTCTCTCCTAATCTGCTCTCTGCCTCCTTATTTGCTCACTTAAGTCAGCCTCCCTTTGCTCTCCTTTTCTGACCCTTCTCCTCTTCTCTTCTCTCCATCACCTCTTCCTCTCTTGCTTCTCGTCTTATTCCCAATAGCTCTGTTTTTCATCCTCTGTGAGGAGTTTGAAACTGTAGTCCAAGAGGAGGAAAACTTCGGTTCAGATACTGAGTGGCACATTCTTCTGCTCAACCTCATTTTCCCCTGTATCCTAGGAGACTGACTAAACAAACTGCCCAGAGAATGCAGCTTAGAACCCTAGTGTTGTAGGTCTTAGTGTTGCCTCTGGTGCTTGAAGGTAGGATGGGAAGGATGGTCACAACTGATGCAGGTGCACTTAGGAGAGGAGGGAGAAAGGATTTGGGAGTGGGAGCAAGAGCAAGAGGCAAGGAGCAGAAGATAACGACTGAGAGTAAGAGATTGGATCTTAACTGTTCACTCCTAGACACGTATGTGGAGATCCTCAAAAGTACGGATAATTACCTCTGTAATACACATGAGAAAATAAAGATACAAAATAAGGTGGGAAGGGGCCAGGGCTGCCGAGCAAGATTCAGTCCTCAACTGCCAGGTGTCTTCATGTCACCTAGAGATGGACTTTGGCAGAGTGGCCAATGGTCCCAGTGGCTTATAGTGGAATTCAAGATATCTAAGGTCTCTCTGAGGGCAGGATGGAAGAGAATCATTCTGTCTACTCTCTTGCTTTGGAGCAGGATTATCACAGACCTGGTTCATAAAAAGAGGACAGAATGGCTTTGATCATAGGTTACAGACCTCAGAATGTTAGAGCTTGAAGATTCTTTTATAACATCAAATCCAGTGGTTCCTGGCTATACCAATATCCCCTGAAAAGTGTCTTAAAATAGAGATTCCTTAGCCCCACTCCAAATCTACCAGATCAGATTTTCCAAGGATGGGACTCAGGAATATTTATTTTTAACAAGCACCTCTGATACACAAGGAAGTCTGGGAAACCTATTACAGATCATTAAGTTGTGGTTCAAAGTCATATAGCTAGTTGATGTCAGAGTCAGGACTAGAAGCAAGTGCTTTTCCCAGCACAGCACTCTGGTACCCCAACAAACTGCCCTGGACCATTGGGCAGGCTAAGAACAAGGTATAGAACTCAAACCCTGGCTCTTTCCAAGGAAGTCTTAGAATTCTCCCTATTACCAGGGGTTTCTATACTCCTCATGGGTCTTGGCCAACCCTTATTTGATAATCCTCAACAATCTGTTAATGAATTTATGCTAAAGCATGGCTGCTCCAGTTCTCTCTCTTCCCTTATAAGGGTGGGGCTCACCTCTGAGTGGCAGCCCTGAGTAGCTAAGAGGTTCCCATATAAAGAGGTGACTAATTCAGCCAGCAGGAAAACTCTTAAGTCAAACAAAATTAAGCTAGAGAGAGCCAAGAGGTCAGAACCCTGTAGGATTGTTCAGGCAAAGGAGTCCAGGGTATGATTTAGTCAGGGTGGTTAAGCATGTGGAGGGCAGAGTTAGGGACTCAGGCAGGCCAGAGCTTGGAGCAGAGGCTGGTCAGAGCCTCCAGGCCCTTACCGTGGCAGGATAGCAGTCCTGTGTCTGAGCTCTGCGACTCTCTCCACTGTGGGACGAGGAAGCCCGGCCGGGCTCCTTTTCTCCGTTGCTCCTCTTGCACTCGCTGGCTTCCTCCCCTCTTCTACTGCAGTTTGCTGCTGTCACTGGCAGAGTTACAGCCAGATGGAAGGAGTAGGGTGGGGAGAGGTGTGAGCTCTCTCCTCTGTTCAGCCCATCCAACTCTTAAAGGCCCAGGACACTGGTCAGTGTGAGGGAGGAGTGGAAGTGGGGTGGGTAGAAAAGGATTAAGGGGAGGGATTGACCGGCACCACATCTCCAGGGAGGAGGAGCCTGTCTGCCCTTCATCCTGGTGCCAGCCCTCACTGACCCCAATCCTGCAGCAGCTCTCAAATGAAACCCAAGGAGTGTCTGAGTTGCAGTGCTCCATGAATCACTGCTTTTCATTCTGGTTGATTTCCCTCTGTTGTACAGCTGTCTTTGCCCTTATTTCATCTGGCTCTTTTCCACGGTGTTTCCACTGCCCTGCTTCTGTGTCTTTGCATCCTGCCTTGCAGGGCACTGTCTAGCTCTGTGGCACTGGGAAAGGAAAAGGAGAAGACGAAGAGAAAAGGGGGAGAGGAATGATATTAGAGTGTAGAGGGACAGGTTGGTGTCTATGTATGTATTAGGCACTCACTATTGAAGAAATGCAGACATAAATGTATGAAGCAATTTATTTATTCTTCATCTGTGTTCATTCATTCTACAAGCATATGCTCAGCATCTCCAATGTGCAAGGACATACATGTATATTTATAAAGGTATGTATAGAAATAAAGCAGCCTCATGGTGTATGTGGATCAAAGGCAAAAAGAAGAGCAAAAGGCTGGAAAGACACCCAACTGGAAAGGAAGGTAATGAGCTTCCTACAAGCTCATGTATAAATAGGCAGCAGAAACATAAACCAAGACTGAGGAAAGGGGACCAAGTTAGGAGAGGATTAGGGGATTGTAAAGGGCTTTATTATGGCCCCACTGCTTCTTTCACAATGTGAAACTGAGGCCAGGGAAGTTTAGGCAATGTCCTGGATTCACATGTCATCAGCAGAGACAGCCAGTCCATTACACTCTTCTAGGCATTGTGAGCTAGGATCTACTTCTGCTCTGCCTTGGAAAGACAGTGGGGTATGGCTCTTTCTGGATCAGTGAATGACAGTGTGAAGCTGAAGGCATAAGACATAGGGCATAGGGCACAGCCCTGTACTTGGACTTCTGTGGGATCAGAAGTGAGGTGTGTCTTAATCATAGGTACAGAGGGAACTAACTGTATGAAATGGTGTGATTTTGAGTATGCTGAGATCTGGCTGCCTCTGGTGGCTCCCTCAAACATCCCTCAACTGCATAATATTCTACCATTAATGATTATTTATAGACAAACCTTTAGTCCCATTAAAATAAAATCCTCCTAAGTGATTACCATAAATGTCAGGACAATGGTTACTTTGGGGAGAAAGGAGGAGTTGTAATGGGATGCAGCACCTAGCTGGCTTCTGAAATAGCTGGCGAAGTTCTGTTTCTGCTCCTGGGTGCTAACAAGGATCTTTATAATGACTAATTAAGCTATACATTTTCTTTATGTAGTTTTCTACATTTGTGTTATATTTTACAATAAAAGGGTTTCACATTTTAGTAACTGGTCATTTCTGAAGCCTTATGGGCTTTTATAATTTATACCTGAGTTGAGCTTATTGTACTCTACTGAGAGCAGGTTTTGATAAAGGAAAAGGAGAATGCAGAGAGTAGAGGCAGAAGAGGGAGGGATAACACTCATGGGGAACAGAAAGATTAGGAGGCACCAAGATTTAAACTGTGCTTATTTCGGATTTTACCTGATAGAGGCCCATATCTCACATACTTACTCTCCCATTTCCACTTCTCCAAAATTGTCATGTCCTTATTTTTCCATGCTTCTCCTTCCCCTTCCCACTCCTCTTCTACACTCTAGGATTATGTATGGTTTGCCTCTCTGAGTCAGTATTTGCCTCACTTAATTGTGGCCCAACCTCTTTCCCTTCTCAGTGTTGAGGGGTATTATCACCCATCCTGAATTTTCTGGTACAGTTCAGATCTCAAACATTCTGTTTCAGTGTTCTCACAAGCACACTAGTGCTCCCCAGATCATGTGTTCTCATTTTGGGGACAGGTGCTTAGAGTCCTTCACAAGGTTAGCATGGCTCCAAAGAGTGGCTTAGAAGACATGCTCACTGTAGGATGCTTTTTAGATCTAGGAAGGGAACAGAGACAGGGCCCCGTGCACAGGAACTGTCCATCTGGCACATCTGGTTTAGTTGTTCCTATTTCCATAATGATCCTGGCCCTTCCCCCTCTGTTGTCTATTATTAACAGAGCCAGAAACCTGATCAGGGCAGCAGCAACAGAGGGACTTTCTGGGAACCATGCCCAGGAAAGGCCCAGAAGCCCTAAATTGAAATGAAGGGGCAGCTGGCAAAGAGGGAGACCTAAGTCCTGTACTCTGCTGCCACGCTGGCAAGCCTGGACTCTCCCCCTGACACCCAGGAGAGAGGCTGTAAACTTCCCTGTTTTCAGAAGTCAGGTTGAGGCTTCAGAGACCTGTTCCACAGACTATGCAAGCAACTACTCAAACTTCTGAAATAAAGTCCCCCTTCTTGGTGGTGAAAAAAGCAACTCAAAATATTAAATCCCATTCGAAAAATCATCATTAGATTACCTGTTGAATTAAAAGCCAGGATATATAACTTCAAAAGATAGCCACTCTTTCCAGCAAATACAAAAACCAAAACCAAAACCAAAACCAAAACCAAAACCAAAACCAAGGGGAAGAAGAACATGGAGGTATAAAATAAGACAGAGAACAAGATGATAGAAGTTAGAATAAAAAATATGAAGGGTGTAATATTCCATAGTAAGAGACAAAACTTTCAGAAAATGTTACCAAAAAAAAAAAAAAAAAGTATATGCTATTTCTAAGAGTCATGTCTCCAAAATGTGGTACTAAAATGTTTAAAGTTACAGGAGGATATCTGGATGTGGAAGGACTCCAATTTCATTCTTATTCAAGATTGCTTTGCCTATTTTGGCACTTTCTATTTTCATGCAAATTTCAGAATCAGCTTGTCTATTTTCACAATAATAATCTTGCTGGAATTTTACTTAGAATTGAGTTTCACCAGCAGATCAATTTGAGAGAATTAGCACCCTTATGGTATTATTTTCCAATCCATGGAGAGGATATATATATCACCTGTGTCGGTCTTTTTTTTTTTTTAAACAATTAAGATATTACAGTTTTTTCTTTATTTTCAAAATGTACTCATTTATGTTACTGCCAGATCATAAAGTCATCCCTGAAATTTCATCAGGCTTAAAAATGTTTCTCAACTCATGTTATCTTATATAAAATTTAAAAGAAATAAAGCTAAGTTATTGCAAAATTTTCATAGTGTGATTTCCAAGTAGCTGAGAACATAAGCAATTTTTCACTTTGCTTCCAAGATAGAAGATAACTTACACCAAAAAAAAAAAAACATTAGGTGAATTGACTATTCATGATTTGATCACACATCTATGTTGTTGTTTAAATTTCAAGAATGTTTCATTTTCAACGTTAAGTTTCTGCATATATTTTGATGTATCTATTTCGAGCTGTTTGATTTATTATGCTTTTTTAGACAACATATTTTTGAAATTTCACTATTTACTGTTGTATTTAGAAAAACATAATTGATTTTTTTGTAATTGACTGTATTCTGTGACCTTGCTAAATTCACTTAATTCTTTAGAGTTTGTACATCCTTTTGGAAAATCTGCATACACAATCCTGTTGTCAGCACACTTTTTTGTTCTTTTTTTCCTTTATAATCATATTTTCTTGGTTTATCACACTGGCTAGGACCAGTATGATGATAAATGGAGGGACAGTGGCCATCCTTCTCTCATTCCTAATCTCATGGAGAGTGATTTCAATATTTTATCATTGAGAGGTTTACCACAGGGTTTCTATTAGATTAAGGACATACCCTTCTATTCCTTGTTTTCAAAGTTTTCTCTTTATATCATGAACAGGTATTAAATTTTAGTATTCTTTCCCATTTCTACCTAGATGATTGTGATTTTTCTTATACGTTGGTGAATCACATTCATTTTCAAATGCTGAATCAGTCTTGTATTTTTGCAGTAAACCCAAAATACATCTGGTTATTTTTATAATTGCTAGCTTTGACTTGTCTTAGAATTTTACATTTACATTTATGGGAGAGGTTAGCCCCTGGTTCTCCTTTCTTGATATCCTTAAAAGGTTTTGGTGGCTGAATTATACTGCTTCAAAAGTAAATTGGGATCTGTTCCCTTTTTTTAAGTCTCTGGAAGTTTATCAGATTGGTGACTATAAGACGAGTGACATCCCTTTTTTTCATTTCTAACGTTGATTTTTTTTTTTCCCCTGGTCAGTCTGCTATATGTTTTACTGGTGTTTTTGAGGGAATGACTTTTGCCTTCATTGATTTTTATTGTACATTTGTTTTCTACTTCCCTGCCTTTTTTCCTGCATTCTTCCTTTTACTTTTTGAACTCGCTATTCTTTCCCAGTTTGATACAAAAACTTAGATCACTCACTTCAGCCTTTCTTTTGTAATGTGTGAATTTAAGGTTATATAGTCTTTTTTTTTTTCATATAGTCTTTTAAAGCAGTGCTTTACCTGTATACCATGGGTTTTGATATGGCATGTCTTCATTACCACTCAATTGAAATATTTTTTCTAATTTTCCTTTGTGATTTCTTCTGTGACCAGTGACTTTATAAACTGTACTGCCTGTTTTATAAACTTAAGGACTTTCCCGTTTCCTTTTTCCTAGCTTAATCCCATTGGGTTTAGAGAACATTTTATTATTATTATATTATTATTATTATAAATTTCTTGAGTCCAGCTATGATCAATTTTGGTAAAAGCTTTTGGTGCAACTAAAAATATGTATACTGTTGGTTTAGAGTTACAGTGCTGTATGTATATAAATTAAGCTAAGTTTGTCAATTGTGTTGTTCAATTTACCTGTTACATCTGCTTTTGAAATAAATGCATTAAAATATTTTTTAAATTAAATTCTGTAACATTTAGGAAAGAAAAATCTCATTTCATTCTATGGTTTCCTATTTCAAATGTTTTCATTGGGCTTTGGGTAGCAATAACTTTGTATATCTCCCTCCCCCTATCCCCTACACTTTCCCAGCCTTTGAACAATAGTGAGCAAGAGAATCATTTTATAGACAGTAAGGATGTCTCTCCTTGCCCTGTTCCACCACTGAAACAGTCAAAGGTTCCCTGAAGCCTTGGAAAAAAAGAAGCTGGAAGCACAGGTTGGCTCTGTCCCATTGAGAGCCAGGAAGAGGGATGGAAACAACTCTGAAGATGTGCTTTAAGTCTTGAACCCCAAAAGGAAATGAATATTAAAGTCTGTGGTAAGATGTTTCAAGCATTACATCTTCATTTATATAAGTCTCTCCCACACCAGTACTAAATTCTTGCCACTAAGGCAAGGAGTAAGGTTCTGTCCCAACAAGAGATACTGTATCCAAAAAAAAGGGCACCATCCCAGCCTCCCAAACAGCTTTTACACATCAGTAAGACTCTCTCAAAGGACCTATCCGCAAAGGGACCATCACTGCCCTCTTGCTAGGGCAGTGTGTGCGTGTAGGTGGACAGAGGTAGAGAGCCAGGGTTGCCAAGGATCATCTGACCAAAGTGCCTAGGTATGTCTATACTAACAAAATAAAATCTCTAGTTTAAAGGAAAAATTATTGCTATAAAAACAGAAGCATGTTTTATTTTAATCCTGTTGAGGGAGAGGGATGGAAAACACAAAATGAGGGGAAGGGGTCTCTTTATACACACAAGACATTAGGACCAACTACAAGGAACAATATCCATTTCCACTCCTCCCCCCAACTCCTATGTGGGGTCAAGGCCAGCTGAGAATAGATGGAACAAGAATTAAGACACTATTGGCACAGGAACATGGCCAATACACCAAAAGATGGAGAAGAGAATTTCTCAGGGAGCAAGGCCCTGGGCCTCAGCTGCTTTCCCAGTGGAGAGGGAATGAGAAAACTTTGGCTCAGCAGGAAGGTGGTTGGCAAAAATCAGGGTTACCGTCCCTGGACTCTCCAGATCATAAACTATGGGTTGAAGAGAGTCAAGACGTTTATCCAGTCCATGCTGTTCTCTGCTTTCTCCAAGACCTCTTCTCTTCAGGCTTGAGATTACTGAGAGCTGGTCTGGTTTTCCTCTTCATTTTGGAAAGCAGGGGAGTAAGTGCTTATTCTACCTTTCCTACATCTAGGCTACTTAATTACTACTTTTTGGCTCTCAAGAGACAGAAGTCAACTAACAAGGCCAGCTCCCTTTGTGAAAGTCGGCTTGAAAGAGCCCTTGGGTTGGCAAAACTGACTCTGCAAGTTTCTCTGAGACTGCCCCTTATAGACCCCAAACGTGTTCAGAGACACTTTCAATTGTACATGAGATATGGACAGAAATACTTGGTTTCTCTCTACTTGGGCTAATAATCCCATCTTTGGTTGGAGATGGGGTTTAGAGAGAGAGAGCAGATGATGGCAGAGGGAAGAATTAGGGGAAAGCAAGGCAGTTTACACTGAGTTACAGATTAAAGCCTCTGAATTGTGACAGAGTCATCTAAAGCTCCAGAGAAGGAAGGGGGATTCTCTGACACAATATGAAGAAGTGGAAAATAGTTTAGTGGCAACCCTGTAATTCCCATAGACCAAAAGGGAATGCATCCCAAAAAAAAAAAAAAAAAAAAAAAAAGGGAAAAAGACTGAGTGAATGAGCAGAGTCCAGCCTTCTATCTTAAATCTGAATAAAATTAACCCATTCATCTAATACTGCTTCAAGTACAATCATGAAGACAGATGGAGCTGCAGCAATTCACACTAAAGCAAAGAATGGGATCAAGTAGCCTGTCATTTTAATCTCAGGCACCTCCCTTTTAAAAGTCACCCAGAAAATATCCTTGAGGACTTAAAGATGAGGTCCACTGTCATTTCCCCTCCAATACAATACCCTTCCAGGACAGCCTGATGAATTAAGACCTCTATTGTAAGTTTAATAGGCGGGAAGTGAAGACGGAAAAGCACTGAGATTTGGAAAAGCTAGCAGCTAAAGCTAGAAACAAGGTTAAGGTCCTTGTGGCATCCAGAACTGGGGGTAGAATGGGAAAGGCAGGGAAATTGGTGGTGGCTTCCTGCTGTCCTTTGGCTTTATATCCTTCCCCTGCCTCCCATTCCTCCCAACAGCTCATGTAGCTATTGGCCTGCTAGAGGGGATGTAATGCCCAGACCAACTTTTTATTGAGCTTATGCAGCTAACAGACTTGTAAACAGTGCCAGTTGACAAAGTTTTGCTGAATATTACAGCCTGTGTCCACTAAACACACCTCTCTCTGAGATTAAAAACAAAAAACCAAAGTAAACAAATACTGAGAGAGAGAATGAAGAGACACATCTTGAGTCTTCCAGGAAGGCAAAATAGGAAAACGCCACATGGCTTGGTCCCAGGCGTTCACCATGCCTAGAGTGCTGCTGTCACCAGTCTTCCCTCCTGCCAGCGGCTGGGGAGAGGTGAGGGGGAAGGGTCATCTTAGGCATGCTGCAAATACAGCATTTGCTGGTGTTGACATCCTCCTGGGCTGTGGTGGCAGACCGCTGTGTCAGGAGCCATTTCCTGGGAGTAGCAGAGGGAGCCCAGGTCCTCAAGGCAGCCTGAGATGGCAGCTTACACACCTCAGCGGGGGTACCTTGCCCCTTTTCTCCAGTGCAGTTCAGCATTGAGGTTGTCTATTCCCGGTTGGTGATAAAACCTGAGCTGTTTTCCTTGCAGGATCCCCCTCCCTTCCCCAGCTTGGGGGACTAGTGGGAGGGGACAGGGGAGGATCACTGAGGGGGCAGGGGGATACCCCGGGGATCGGTGACCTGGCCCTCTTGCAGGTTCTTCACCAGTTGTGCAAGCCAGCGTTTCGTGGTGGTGTCATCTTTTAGCACCTGGGCGAAGGTCGTGTCCTTCAGCTGGTCAGGGAGGCACTGCCTGAGTGCTTCACGTGCCCTACATCAGAAACAAACACACCAACCAGGGAGACCAACAAATAAACCCACATTTGGGGGGCAGGGAAGAGTCTCTTTCTTAGACATAAATATATAGACCCCTGGGAATCTATGGCCCTGCCAAGATACTTTAAGAAGCCATAAAAATTCCTTAAAGCTTGTATTAAGCACAGGTTCAGAGATCTCCAAGATCTGTTGTCTGCAAACATTTTCAGAATGATGCCCCAATGTAGAATTTTGTGACAAAGCAAATGGAATAAAATGGTGCAACAGTTTACTTCAGTACAAACTGCTGATTTATAACAGTAAATATTGTCAAAATACTCATGTTAGAAATATATGGGTGATAATAAAGGAAATTTCCAAAATCAGTACATTAACAAAATCCGTACATACAGGGGATATGACCTGACTCACAGTACAATAAATTAATGAACTTTAATTCTAAACTGATAAAATTTGTGTCTTTCCAAAAACGGCTTCAGTTTAATAGTTAAAATCCTTAATAAAAAAAGGGGGGTGGAGGGGAGGGGATAGCTCAGTGGTAGAGTACCTGCCTAGCATGCACAAGGTCCTGGGTTCAATCCCCAGTACCTCTACTTAAAAAACAAGTCAATAAAAAAGACGGGGTAGTGAGGAGGGTACAGCACAGTGGTAGAATGTGTGGTGAGGAGGGTACAGCACAGTGGTAGAATGTGTGCTTGGTATACACAAGGTCCTGGGTTCAATCCCCAGAGCCTCTGTTAAGAAAAAAACCAAACCAAACCAAACCAAATCAAACCAAAACAAACAAATGAAAAACCCTTAATAAGAGATAAGCAGTAAAAACAAAACTATGGTAGCAATATTATCAGGTGAACTTTGAAATATTTTCTTTAAAAGAGAACCAGTAAAAGCCAAATCTGAAAACTTCAAAAAGGCCATTTATAAGGCGGTTTTAAAAAAAAGCTATGGCTTTTGTACTCAGACTAGCACAAGTTGAGTTTTAAACATAGTTTCAAACTTTGGTGAAACAGAAAACACCAAAGAACAGGACAAAATGGTCAAAGAAACAGTGAGTGCTTAAATAATCTCATTGGCAGAAGGCGGAGTTCACATTAAACCAAGTTACCCTTATTCCTAGGAACACAGAAATCAACCCATTATGTGGTTTAGCAGAATGAGTAAGTGGCTTTCAGCATGAATTATGGATTCACAAAGCAAAAGGTCAAAAATTTCTAAACTGCGCCGTATCTACAATGTATAATTTCTGGTAGGAAGATTATGAACACAGGGAGATAAAATAATTAGCTCAAGGACTTTACAGGAATCAAGAAGAGAACTGAAAAAATAATTTAAGAGCGCTCTGGGCCTGTTCCTTTTTAAAGAGATCTTCGAAGATTAATTTTTCTTTCTGATCACCTGAAGTAGCAACAGAAAGCTCAAACCACAGGAGTAATGTATCATAAGATTCCCTGGGAACTGCCTGAACTCTCTGGAATTTTAGAGTAGGGTACAGAGTCCCAGTGGAAAGATAAAACTCTGACAGAATTTTAAATTCAGCACTTTAGATTTTACAAGGAATTAATCAAGTTCTCAGACAAACTAAATATAGTTTTATCCCTTCCCTGTCCTAAAGATATAAGAGCTATGCCATGAGAGGGGGCAACCACTCACCAGAGTATTTCCCCAAAGTCCTATAAATTCTGTAAATGTTTACCTGGGATTATCTGAGAGTCGGAGGTAACATCTTACTACATGCTTCAGCAGACGGGCGGAAGGCTCTTTGGATAGCTGCAGGACCATCTTACCCTGTTTCCCCCAAAAGAGGGTGGGGTGGGGAAAAACACACCAAACACAAAATAATTCTAGTTGACATCAGAGATCAGATAATGCAAAAATCGTTATACAAAGTTCCATGGTTGTTACTTCTAGTTGGAAGACTGAAGCCACTCAGTGTCGATTGCAAAGGGGTTGTGTGATCAGAAGTAGTTACAAAGGGGGTAGATTAAAGAACTCACCAAGATCATGGCAACGTGAGAGAAACGCTCATATGTCTGACATATATAAGCCAAACCAGTGTCATCTAAGAGGATCTTCTGAAGGATGAACGTGGCAACCTGGAGTAAAACAAAATTAAGGAGTCTAAAACATTGCTCAGATTTGCCTTCCAGCTGACTACTCATCTCCCAGAAACAACATGAAGCAGAAAACTAAGCAAAGATCCTGGGATTATATATACCTTACTCAATGAGATATGCATAGTACAAAAAAAATTAATAAATATTACCATATTGAACACTTACTATGTGCCAGAATTTTTCCTAAAGCCATAACACACATCTTATTTTCACAACAAACCTATGAGGTAGGTAGCATTGTTATTCTCATTTTACATAAAAGGGTAGATAATTACCAGATTCTTAAAAACTAGAGACTTTCTCAGTTATTAAATACCTACTATGTGCCAGGCACCACTGAAAATCAATAATTTGCCAGGTTAAGGTCCCAAGTGACAAAGCCACTAAATCACAAAGCTATTAAGTCTAAATCTAGTTTGAATACAGAGCCTCTTTTCTTTCCTATGGTCCAAGATGATTTTAGAGCTTCAGCTATGCCTCAAATTCTTCCAAATGAGGTTAAGTAAAGCTTTTCCTATTCTTAAAAGATTTTTAAGAAAATAAGATTTTTAAGTCCCCCTTCAAAAATTGTTCCAACAGTAATAAAGTAATAAACTCAATTTAAACTCATTAACTCTTACATAGAAGGGATTTAAAAAGTACTAGTTTAACTCAAGTCAAATAATTATTATAATGTTTCTCTTCCTTAGCTGCTCATCAGAGCCAACTGTGGGAATTACTTATTTTATTTTACCATTTTACTGGGGTAAAACATTGTAGTTAGCTAAATAATGGTCCCTAAAGATACCCAGGTCCTAATCACCAAACCCTGGGGATGCTACCTTATGCAGCAAAAGGGACTTTGTAGATGTGATTAAGTTAAGAATTTTGGGGGGTGGGGTAGGGGGCAATAATCATCCTGGATTATCCAGGTGGGCCCTAAACGTAATCATCATAAGTGTCCTTACAAGAAAGCAGTAGAGGGAGATTTGACCACAGAGAAGGTGATATTATAGAAGCAGAGGGATTTGAACATGCTAGACTGCTGGCTTTGAAGATGGAGGATGGGGGAATGAGCCCAGAAATGGAATTCTAGAAGCTGGAAAAGGCAAGGAAAGGGATTCTCCTCTAGAGCTTCCAGAGGGAACATAGCCCTTACTGACACCCTGACTTCAGCTTGGTGAACTGATTAACAGTTTCTGGCTTCCAGAACTGTAAGAGAATAAATCTGTGGTGTTTTAAACCATCAATCTTGTGGCAATCTGCCACAGCAGCAAAAGGAAACTAATACAAACATATACACAGTAAAATGTGCAAAGTGTACTAATCTTAAGTTTATCTTGATGAATTTTTACCTGTGTACCCATTTGTGAACCACAACCAAATTAAAATATAGAACATTTCCAATACCCCATAAGATTCCCACTTGCATTTCCCTAGTCAATAAATATCCTTCCTACTGGGTCACAGCAGCCTACCCTATGACCCAGCAGTCCTTTTGAATCTTACTTTTGAATACTTTTCTACCCAGCCTGCCAGTCTAGGTTCACTTTTTACGTATAATGCTTAGTCTAACATTTTGCCATAGTAGGCTCCCAGTAAAGTAGTGGTTCTCAATCAGAGCTGTGTGACATGATCACCTGTGAAATGTTTAAAAAATCCTGATGTCCATGTTCTGTCTCTGACCTATTGAACCATTCTCCAGGGTAATAAAGTCTGGACATTTGTAATGTTTAAAATAACTTATTTTGGAAAGCTGTTTGGTGGTATTCACTATAAACATAAAGTGTACATGATAAGGTGTCTGCTTGTATGGAACAAAAGAAGAAAGACATACCAGGAACTGACTACTAACCATAAAAGGCTGGATAGGAGAAGTATTCTAGTTGAAGTGTGAAGGTCAATGGGAACCTCTACACATCAAGGATGAATCAATTCTAGTAATGGGCAAGGAATGTAAACAGAGGAGGGATCATTGGGATGGGGGTTCCTGGAAGATGAAATGTCATAAAAGAGAAAATGAGTCTTTTTCTGCCACAGCCTTATGGCTTCTTATAAAGCCAAACTTGAAAAACCTATTCATAGCCAGCTACTAATAAAAGACGACAGAATACAGTTTGCACCCATCCCAATTCTGTCCCAGAAATCCACTGAAATTAACAAAAAGAACTAAAATTAAGGAGGAAATGAACACAGGTCACATGCCACTTATTCTTTTTGTGTTTAAGTAGAAAACTGAAGATCGAGGTATAAACCTCCCCTAGACAGGCAAGCTGTGTGGAAAAGTATTCAAAAGCAAAATACTTGACTTAAAAGCTGCCAACTTCAGTTCATGACATCTCTCCTTCCATTCATTATTTTTAAACAAACGGAGATCTTAGAATGATTCCCACAGGGAAAATTTTGTAGAGACATATCCTAAGAAGGGGTTACAGTTATCTACATTTTCCAGGGAAATGAAGAATACATGGACTTTAAAAAAACATTTAAAAAAAATCCAAAGATAAAAAAATTCAAAGAAGAGCTGAAAAAACATGAGAAGTGAGAGGGCAGAGACTAGAGGAAAAAAATTAATATAAAATTAAACTGCTACATCTATACATAGAATATTTCTAGAAAGATTCTGTAAGAAAGTGGTCATATTGGTCACTACTAGGGAGAAGAACTGAGAGGCTGAGGTAGGAGACTTACATTTATTTGTATACCCATTTATACTAGCATTTGAATTTTTTATTTGTATTGGGCATTCAAAATAAAAATTTTTATATCATTACATGTGCTTACATCCAACTCAGCAATAAATACTTACTGAATTAAAAATGAAAGTGACTAGTCTAGTTAATGTAACTAGACATACTTTAGAAGCAGAGGTTAGATATTGCTAAAAATAGCAACATGGAAAAGTATCCTTGAGAAAAATCACATGATATGAAATTAAAGATAGAAAGTAATTAGAGACAGAAAAAAGATACATATATAAAAATAGACTATATAGCATAACTGATGTTGCTGGAGAGGTCAGAACAAATTAAAGGGAAAACTATAAAAATTAACAAAAAGGAGACACAAGGACTAGGCTCTTTCAGAAAAAAACTGATACAAGGTTATCAAATGAGGAAGGCAGGGTAGAATGAGTGTCCAGCACGCACAAGGTCCTGGGTTCAAACCCCAGTACCTCCATCAAAAATAAATAAAAATAGAAAAACCGAATTACCCCCTCCCCCCCAAGAAAAATAATAATAAAAAAATTATCAAATGAACTTAAAAATAATAAAGAAGCTTAAAATATCCATATAGAAAAGGCAAGTTCACCAAGAAAATAAAAAAATTAGGCTGACCCAAGATTTCACTACAACATTCAATACCAGGAGACAACAGGGCTATGGCAACTGAGTTCTGACAGGAAAAAATGAGATGAGAATTTTATACTCAGCCATGTCATTCATGGTTAAAGCAAGCAAAGTAGGCAGAAGCTCAAATATATATACACTTAATTATGCATTAAAAATGTCTGGAATAATATACTTTTGACTGAGAAGTGGGTTCAGAGAAAAGGGAGAAATTTAGTGTTTATTTA